ACAGCCAGTTAAGCATATGAGGATTGGAAGGATGAGTCCACTATACACCACCCTACTCACAGTTCTCGCTACATGAACAGTCCACTGATACGTTTAAGTCAGCAAGTGGTACTTAAAAAACAACCACTCAAGTGTAAACAAAAGTGATAAAAATCCGTGGTTCGAATCGGTAATTTTCGGAACCCCCTGTCAAAAGCTACGGAGTGCTATTCTTTGCTTAATCTTTCAAGTGAAATCTAAACGGTTACTTTAGCACTGTAGGTACTACGGGAGACAACTCAGAGTGTTATTTTTCGATCACTTAAATTGTTAGTTAAACTATTAAACCTAACAGTTTTTAAATGGAATATGCCAAGGTGCGGACTCTTCAGTCACCAATAACACATACCAACCATCCAGATACAGATCCAAGGAAACGAACATTTCACAGATTCTGCGAAAGAAAGTTGAGGCTGAGTGATAACCACAAACAGCGCCCGTTTAGTTAATAAGTCTTCGGTAGGCTCATACTCTGCGTCATAGACTACTTCACCAAATTCGTAACATAAGACAATATTCAATCCTAGCCTGGCTTGAAAATTCTGATCTCATCGAATATTATTAGTTTGCTCAAATCAAACGACTCTGATCCTAAAACGATCAAAGTGCTCCCAGCAGTTATAGGGCAGGAAATGACAATAAGATTGGAAGTCTTAAACTCGTATTTCAAAGAAGTCAAATCCGTTCTTAGTTTAATTATTTGGAATCTAGAGGGATCAAAAGAAAATGATCTTGCTAAAAGGCATGTACATGATTTGGATTCAGTTGAATCTGCCACCGAGAATGTACTGCCAGAAGAGGTTTAAGGGGTACATATCACTAAAGTAATGAGACTCGGTGAGTTGTAGGGGAACCCCAAACAAAAAGGATTTTGAATTCAGTACTTGGAAGTTATCAAGAAAAATATATTTTATTAAATAACCCAAATAATACTTATAATTCGGATATTCTTATACGACCAGATTGGTTACTCGAAGATCCGTCCAAGCGGAAGAGTGCCATTACTGAGTTAAAAACTCGGAAGCAAAATGGCAAAAAAAACCTTGGGATACGGGGTTTTCGGGTTGTTAGGTCTTGGAAGCCAAGTCTGCGTAGGTAGACTGAGTGATTCTCAAATCATCTTATATGTGTACTACACAAACGCTCGTACTTTCAGAAATCAAACGTCCTAGCTAAGTTTGATGGTGAATGAATTAGGTTCGGATATATTCGTTGTCACAGAAACGTGGCCCACCGTAAATGAAAACTGTCCTCCAATCATTGCAAGATATATTTGTATTAAAAGTGATAGTTATAAATCGCGAAAAGAGAAGGCATCATAATATATGTTGGAGATCGTTTACGTGTACAGCCCAGCGAATCAGAAGAGCATGATAGTGGTACATGTGAGGTAGCTTGCTAAATAGTTAAAAATAGTCATGTGTTAGTGACTAGAAGGAGTATGTAGTGGCATCGGATCATAACCACACAATCCTCAAAGCTGAACACCAGACTCCTCGGAAAATAGATATTCAATATTTAACGCAGAGAAATACCCAACAATGGAGAAGGCGGGATTAATGAATTAAATTAATCAAAGTTGATCGTATGGCATGGCTTGGCCATGCAGGCGTGGTCACTGCTAAATGTTACGTTATGTCTTTTATTCATATTAAATATATTGTTCCATCTCTAGTCTAAGATTGTTCTATATCATGTATTGGTAATTGTTACGACGCAGTGAGTTGGTGTAGATGATGATGTGATTTTCACGTAAGATCTTATAGATTAGGCAGTTACAACATAACAAATCTACAATTTTAGGATTAGGTCTATTATTAGAGCAGCGCTAATATCATAGTAGACCACAATTCTATAAGTATACTTGTTATGACCGAACTACCAGCATTCGGGCTGAACGTAGGACTGACGAACCAAAACGTGTTCGAATAGGTCAGACTACGATCTTCTGTATAGCTCGCCAAGCGTTTTTGAGACACTCGTATTAAACTACATCAAAACACAAACTCTGTGCTCAATTTATACGATTCTAATTTAAGAAATAGAAAAAATTATATCAAAAATACAAAATACCTCAAACTGTACAACCTGTGCTATACAGTCAGAAGTTTCTCTAACGCAAAGTAGTGCGGTAAACAACAAAAGAAACAGTCAATATCAAAGGATTTGATACCTGAAAATCAACACATATATTCCCAACAAACGGGATCAAATATCTATCTGCAGGGATTCCAGAAATCCTCCCAAGCAGACATTCAAAAAGTTGACAGTCACACATTAAATCACGCCAAGACCTTGAGCTTAGTCAAACACGACCTCACTGTCAATAGTTCGGCAACATGTAGTAAAAATTAGGTGACAAAAAGATAATTTTTTAATCAAAATCACATAATAAAAGCTCAAACGAGATCTGAACAAAGGTTAAAATATATGACAGAGAGAAGAAACAAATAAATCAAAATACTGTCTAACAAAAAAGGCTGTGGAGGGATTTTCACCGTTCTTTTTCCGTTACAATACTCTTGCCCACGATGTCCTGCTGTCGACGTTGTCTCAGGTCAAATCTGTTGTTATAATGAGGCTGATTGTTGTCTCATCATTGGAGGTTTCAAGGTACCACACATCAACTGGGAAGAGCCCACAACTTCAAGTGGATGTTTGACAGCAGCCTTATGTAAACCATTAATCGGTGTGCACTTGTACAATGTACGGAAAAACTGGCCTATATTGGCTGAGAACATGACCCGTCATTACTGGACCTTGTCTTTGCACACCACTGTGGTGATGTCACCGGCACTCAGTACTTATCCCACTTTCAAACAGTGGTCATGTTTTACTGTACTTTAGGTTTCGGACAAATAGTATACAGTGTATTTTCTCCGCGCCGCCTAAGTATCTGGAAACTAACATTCTGGTAACCACAGACTGTGCTTTCTAGACAGACTGGTTGGTCAATGAAAATTGGCCAACCGTAGACGAGTGAGATAAACGTAAAGCCAGATTCGAGTCCGTAACATCACCAAACATCCCATGGTCAACATCTAGGCTGTCACAGTGCCATCCGTGTATCGATAAGGAAATTCGAAAGCTGCTGACGTGAAGGAAACACTTCAAGGACTAATTCTTGTCGACAGATTACGAATCATTTAAGCGTGAATATCGAAAATCAGAACTTTATGTTTAAAGACCATAGTCGTATCATTCACAGAAAACAGTTGGTATAACTTTACCTGCCCAAAACGATTGTTCTCGTACATTAAACGAGGAACGGAGTTTAGTGATGACATTCATCCATTACAGTCGCGCAAAAATTCGGATATACTAGTTGAAGCAGATCTGGCCCAAGCTGAGACTTTATGAAACTATTTCAGCGGAGTCTACTCTACGAGTAGTGTTTGCGACATCTGTCATAACCACATCACTGAGACGCTAGTTATAGGATCTGCACGTGTGACTTAGGAAGCCGTTCTCCAATTAATCATTAACCTCAGACCTGGTGAGACACCGAATCCTGATGGTTTATATCGACGACCGCCGCTATCTCTCGCGAACATTAATTCAGGGCCGCTCATGATGCCCTTCAACATGTCCCTTTCTTGAACTCAATTCTTTAGGTAATAGAAAGATGTTCAGTTAGTTCTAGGTTTGAAGATGGTCGGGGATAAATCGTATCTAACTACAGACCTACAATTTTAACCGGGAGAGTGGTGAAGGTATTTGAAGAGATAATTTGGGTTTAGTTACTAAGTCACACACAATCGTACGACCTGTTAACCCGCGAGCAACTCGGGTTTCAAAATAATCATCAATACTTAACCAACTTACCTATGGAAAAAGGGATTGGAAATCAACTCCCGACAATAACTCGTTTGCCGATGCAATATTTATAGACTATGGCAATGCATTTGGCAAGGTTTCTCATTGAGGTCGTAAGAAGATGCTCTCAAGCCTCGGGATAATAGGTGTTGTACAGGAATGGATATGAAGATTCCTCTATGGCCGAAGGCAGAGAATGAGGGGGAGTAGGATGCTGTCCGTATGGAAACCGGTCAAAAGTAGTGTGCACCAAGGAACTATCTTAGGTACCTTACATTTACTCCTCTACGTCAATGAATTACTGAGATTGATTAGGTCGTCGATGTTACTGTTTGTGGATGATGTCAAAATCTGGAGAATAATAAGTAGTGAGGCTGATTATCTTGATCCTCAAGCTGAATTTGACGAATTAAGTACATGGTTTCAAAGTTAGGGCTTAGAAATGAATTGCAGAAAGAGTGTGCTCATGTACATCAAGCACGTTAATAGTTTTCAGAGGAGTATCAACGATTCATCACTTCCATACGTGCAAGAACACAAAGAGTTAGGGGTAATAGTGTGTTACGACTTGAAAACAAAGGTTTTCGAGCATTATGGTCACTTCACTGAGGATTCAAATGCTTTGATGAGATGTTTAGAATCTTAGATCTAAACTATTTAGGACTACACCCAGAGTTTTGTATTCAAGCAACCGATCCTAGTAAAGACACTTACTTGAATGTATTCACCATATGAAAACATAATTATTGAGGGTTCTTCCCTAATCCCTTACGATTAGCGCTTAAAACGTCTGTCCCTTTTCCCCTTATATCATAGAACGCGAGGTGACCTTATGTTGGCATTCTGTATCTCTAATGAAAATTTGAGGGTTAATATGTCTTGTCTTTTTGCTGGTCTCAGCACTAGTTGTCTTCGAGGCCATAGCTAAAAGGTTTAAAACCACAACCTTATAAGTTTGGAGTGGTGTATCGTTTCTTTAATCGAGTAGTCAACGACTGGAAAGTTCCACCCAAGAAAGTGGTACCAGCCTCATCAGTGAACATTTTAAAGGAGAAGCCGAACCCCACTGGGAATCGAATTGTAAGGAGCGATTCAGGTTTGCCTACCTACTATCCTATTACTGAGGACTGAAGTTGAACCGCGCTATTTGAATCCGGCGCTATGTCGGTCGGTCAGTCCGGGGCGGAGTTATCTTTTGGTGTTATTAAAGTTGGTTTGCGGTTTCATTGCTTTAATTGATGTTAGGATATTCTAGAAGACCCATCAGGCTTTTCTCTAGCCAAACTGAAGGCAACTGCGGAGGCTATTGAATTAAAGTGAAAATTTAAAGTTGACTAACAAAAATTCAGGGATAAAAAAAGTTTGATTGATGTTGCTTTACGGGGACGCATGCTGCGTCTACTTGCATCAGACTCCATGGACGATGTGAAAACGCTTTTGAAAATGGGTGTTGCGGCGGCCTTAGCGAGTAAGTTCTTCTTTCAGCCCTTAGTTTCTCTAATAGATTTGTGCTCTGCACCGACTCCATTTTTGTTATTCGCGGATGTTTTCAACACTAAACCAATATCACTTTGTGAAGAAATGTTTGGATTTATGGAGGAAACAATCATCACTTTGAAGGATGTATGTTTGACGTCTTCTCACGGTTTTTGTAGGTACCCTTATTTGCTTCAGGAAGGAACACATTATTAAGAATGTGTAATGGTTCGTTTGATCACTTTTCCTCGAAATATATCTGTTCAATGTAGACCTCCTTAGACGCCTGTCAAAGTCACAGAATACTGTTTTTTGCGGCCAAATTCAACTCTTCCTGACCCGTTTATTTCCATTAGATGAAAAGTCTGGACTAAATTTTATGAGCAATTTTAACTCAGAAAAGGATGTACTGTACAACAAAAACCCCGACCCGAGTGTTTTCAAGCATCAGGTGTCTCACGATCATACATCTGATGATTTGGAAGAGGGGGAGATGACCGATTCATCTACTCCCTTAGAAGTGGATGCCGGTCTTTATGTCAAATTTTGGTCCCTTCAAGAGTTCTTTAAGTCACCGGCTTTGTGTTATGAGAAAGCTAAATGGATGCGTTTCACAAGTAGCACAGACACAGTGTTAGATGTGTTTTCGAGTATTAAACTAATGGCAATAGAAGAAGGCGATATTTGCTCTCAGAGTAGCAGCGGAACGTTTTCCAAGTACCTTACAAGCGAGAAAGTAAGTGTTCTATGCATATGATACACTGTATCAGTAAGCTAATAACAAGGATTTTGTTTCACAACTACTACTTTTTAATGGTTGTATTACATTTCCCAAATAAATGACATTTCGATAATATAGTGCAGCTCCCAACATATAAAAATGTTGAGTGCAAAATTGAGCCTCTGAACTCTGATTGTCCAAATGACAATGAATTTCTTATAAACGTCTTTTGTTTTTTATACCTACTAGATACTAGACTTGAGAAAGGTTCAATAAATATTTACGTTCCTGGTCATCGTTCTCACCGTAAATAACAAACTAATAGTTTGTTATCACATGGTACCAGTGGTTTGGTACATTTTCGTCATGAATCATTAATTAACCTATTAGATCTTCTTGGTTGTCTTGAAAGTCGTGACCGAGTACGTAGGTCTCAATTACAACCAAGCTCAATATATAGATGTCCCAGTAATAGCTTCTGAAAATATGTATAGAATGTTTTGTTATCGTATGTATTAGAGTGTACATTGGAATTATATATTTCATTCTTGAAAACAACATAGCCACACTAGCCTGCCCAGTGGTACATTTTTAGTTTATGTCACATAGGTATCTTCAAACCTTACCAGGCTTTCCGTTACAGACCGTACGGTTCTTTGAAGAGCGATTGAAACTTCTATAGCGTTCGTATCGAAGAGCTATGTCAGATAGTACGTGAATTCGACTAATCCATGATAATGTATCGTTTCCATCTGAAATCGATGGGATATTGAAAATATTTATGTAGTCGGTCGCAGTGACACAAATGTAATTTCTCGCTGTCCACCCCTAGATCTTGATCTGAAAAATCATCCTGTACTCGCCGTTTTGATGCATTGTGACGAAATCTCCCGGTGCACATTTGTTCCTGGTTCTTACGTTGCTAATGATAGTCTGATGGCCAATTACTTGCTTTTTGTCTGGTCAGTAAGCAAGGAAATTATATTTTATGGTGTTCGTGAATAATTCATTCTAGAGGTGTCTGAACTTTCGTAATAATTTTATTTATTCTAGCTGCTGGATCTGCAACTTATGGATCCTAGTTTCCGGCGGTATATACTTGTTCAGCTACTAATCCTGTTTCAATATTTAACAACTACAGTTAAATTTAAAACGTAAGTCGCATAGTTTTTCTTCTCTTTCTCACGGTGTTTTGTTATATCCTTCAGTTTCTTAATCAATTTATGATGCTGTATTAAAAATTCCAATATTGTAAATCCAAACACTCCGTCAACTACGACGTAGGACCAGGCACATATATGCATCGGTCCAATTCGCCACACCACTATTACAACAAGATGAACATCAAATTCATAGAAGTAGTCAACTCAATGGTAGTAATGTATTACAAAAGATTGTATATAAGGATATAGTACAGGAAGAAAGAATTAGTTGGTAGAAAGAAAGGTATAAAGCAATTTTAATTTTCCAGTTTAAGGGAAGACAACGAGTGTATACACCTACACCATTGTGATCGATTCTGAGCCATTTTACTTGGTCTCCAACCATTGGTTATGATAGTCTCGTGGTCTACATCTACCCACATGGCTGAAACCAGATCCATTTGTTGACTTAGAATATGCCGATGACAGTTCTATTTAGTGAAGATGCTGACAAAATGCAGTCATCTGACCACTCTAAGCAACAATGCAGGCATGCTCGGCATGCGATTTTCTCCCTCGAAATGCAAAATGTTGCTTCAGGATTGAGTTGCGTCGACACCCGAACTAGTGATAGGGAGTGAAGTAGTTGAGTGTGTCGACCGCTTCACTTATCTCGGAAGTCTCATCAGCCCTTGTGGTTTGGTGTGTGACGAAATCTCAGTGCGGATACAGAAGGCTCGACTAGCTTGTGCCAATTTGTGTCATTTATGGCGTAGGCGAGATATCCGTCTATCAACCAAAGGACGTGTTTACTGTGCAGCAGTTCGTTCCGTCCTACTTTATGGCAGTGAAACATGGCCGGTAAGAGTAGAGGATATTCGTAGGTTACTAGTATTTGACCATAGGTGTCTTCGAAACATCGCTCGTATATCCTGGGACCACCGAGTAAGTAATGCAGTTGTTAGGAAACGGGTACTAGATAAGGATGGCAAATCAATTGATGAAGTAGTGAAACGTTATCAGTTGAGATGGCTGGGACATGTGTTGCGCATGCCCGACCACCGACTGCCCCGACGTGCGATGTTTTATGGTGTAGGAGTAGGTTGGAAGAAAGCTATGGGCGGCCAGACCAAAACATGGCACAAATCCATGAAGTCGCTGACAAGTGGACTGAGCGATGTTGGTAGATGAAGACAACTTGGTTGGGGACCGCGAGATGATAGCAACAGATGGTTAGAGACCTTGAATGACATGGCTCCAAATCGTTTGCAATGGCGCAGGTGCATCCACTCTCTGTGTTCTCTCAAACTCTAATCTTCTGAATTCTTCATGTCCTTTATTTTCATTCCAAATCTATTCCACTGGACTATACTACTTAAATAACAATCAAACCCTACTGTTCCCTATCACTACCTCTTCCACTAAGGGATTTGAATCGATAACTGAATGTTTGTGGTAATATGGTATGGCAACTCGAACTGATGTACGTACGTACGAAGTTCCACGTTGTTGCTGACTGACTGACTGAAACCAGAAGTTAGTGGCTTGGTGAACTGATACCACTTTTTGGTTTGGGCGCCCCTTACTTTCTTCCAACCATCCCCAATACTAGTTAGTATTGTGCGTCGTGGTAATCGGTGTTGAGACATACGTAACGAGTGGCCCAACCATTTCAGTCAATGGAGATTTGCAACCTCTTTAACTGGTTTAGCATCGTTCCCTAATACCCTGTGTCTAACCTCACTATTACTTACCCGGTTATCCTAGCAGATGCGAACAATATTTCTAAGACATCTAGTGGGTAGTTGCAGAGTAGCTGAACTGCTCCTTAAAGTGTTCTGCCCATCGTTCTAAATGTCTGGGCTGAGAGCAGATAAGAGTATCGTCTTTTTCCGAGATGGTTTCACTTACACTTGACTTCTTGATTCCATTTTCTTTTATTAGTCTGAAAATCTGTCTGGTTTTACCCACAGCCACCGCCTTTTCCATCTCTCTCGTTTTCGTTGCCCACCACTGCTCACGGTCATTCCTTAGACTTTTAGTTAACCTAGATCTGACTTGTTTTCGTTCCTCATTGTGTTCATAGCCTGATGAGATGAGTCTACGAGAATCTATCAGTGCAATAGACTTAGTGGAAATCTACTGGTTTTTCGTGACCCTTTGGCTCGAATCATTAATAGATGTGTCTGCTGCTTCCACAGCAGTTTGTATATCTTTCCAAGCAACATCTGGGTCAGCCTTGTTTTCAGAAGTATCTAGGTGTGACCTCAGTTGTTCCGTTAATCTACTCGTAAACCTAAACAACACGTAAATAGGCAATATTGTTTACAATTATATCATAAGGCTTGACTGTTATTTAGTACCATTTATGTGCATATATAAATATATTAGACCGACCAAGGGAGTTTATAAGTCAGTGATAACATTCAAAGAGATCATGTAAATAAACACAACAATTAAAGATAAAAAACTGGTAGTGCGGTGAATGGCGTACTATTTGTAATAAGAATATAAAGAGCTTAAATCAATATCTCACAATACAAAGTAAGTCAAAGACCCGGAAAAAGTAAACTTTGAAATAGGATTAATCAAAAATTATTGAGATTACGTGATAAGAAGTGTCCAAATAATTCAGTGAGTTAACGTATGTGCACCAGTCCAAGATGTCATACTCTATTAAACAGAAATGAATTTGTCAAGCCGAATCCTAGAGTAGTAGAGTTATTAACAGTATCAGTGGTAATAGAGAAGATTAGGCATCAAAGATACGATTCAAGAAAATATGAATCAGTGAAATAAGAACCCTGTTCACGTTTACTGCAATTTTTTGGTGCACCTTTTAATGTCAGACATTGCCGCAGAACCTCACTATCGACGGAGTCGGACGCCGCTTTTGTGCCGATGAATAAAACTGTCGTCGAACGTCGGAAAGTTTGTCTATATTCCAGAACGTGCCTAAGGTGAACATTTGGTCTGTACATCTACTTTCAGGTCTAAAACCAGCTTGGTTTTCTCGAGTTCTCTCTTCATGGGTTCTAGCTAAACGGTGAAGTATTATTAAGGTTAGCATTTTATACGCCATATTAGTTAAACTGATTCTTCTGTGATTGTCACAATAGGATTTTTGTCCTTTCTTATAAACTGGGACGATCAGCGACCGTGAACAATCAAATGGAATTATGTCCGGTTCCCATATTTTAGCTAAGATTTCAGTTAATCTAACTGTTAAAACTGGGCCAGTGTCTCTAAAAGCCTTAGGGGTCAGTCCATCAGACCCTGCTGCTCTCTCTGGCTTTAGATTACTTATGACCTTTTCAAACTCGCCAAGAGTTGGAAGATTTACATTAATTTGCCACTCAAGTTGCTTGGAGATAATGGGTAACTCAAGTGTGGCTGAAAACCAGTTGAAATGTTTCCTAAAGTGTTCTACTTATCGGTCTAATTTGTTGCATTGAGTGTGAAAGTAGCCCTGTTTTTTCCGAGATGGGCCTTTGTAAAGTATTTCAATTTATCTTTGTCCGTTGTTCTCTATAGAGATTACTACTTTAAGTGATTTTAGTTGTTTTTACAAAAACGCTTTCCATATGTTGAATGGTTTCCTGGAGCGGCGAAAATTTTCTTTAACGTTTTTTTTTCATATGTATTATGTCTTGTGAGTTTGTTTTCATCTAAATGGTGTACGGGGTTTCTCAATTACGGTCGTTAGGTTTGTTTTCATTCAGAGTATTTCAGTACATTTGTTATCTACCAATTAAAGTTGTCTTATGTTTACAACAGTGCTTTCTGGTTTATGTAATTAGCTAGTGTCAATAGAATAGGCGTATCAGTGTCCTAACTTATTTTTCGTTTCAAAATCCAAGAAAACTTTTCCCACAGTCTAGATGCTTGATTTTTGGTATCACGACCCGTCACTATGATAGATTCTTTTATTTGTTATTTCAATCCGATAACGTTGTGCATTATTTCATATGTATTTTACTTCTTGTTAGTTTAAGTCACTACAAAAAGCATCCTTCATAATAGAATACACTCTGATATCAGGTTTGGGTAATGTCTGGTTCGCGTCTTAGTAATAATTAACAGTAAAAAACATTTACAAAGCTGTAACTCGTTTGCGATTGTGTTCCAGGTGATGTCCATTGTTCACAGAAATGGATTTCCTAATGATCAATCATTAATTGTCAGAAGTTTGTTTCACTTATTGGGAATGGAAACAATTTTTATGAGTTTAATTAGGCTGCTTCGTTGCGATTTGACAATATGTTAGCCCCAGTTTTTATATGGGCATAGAGTTGGTATAGTGTAAAATGACTTGTCAGTTAAAATCATATTAAATTCCTTTGCCAATTCATTTTTGTCCCTGAAAGGGTAGTTTTGAAATTGTTACACTATTGGCTAGTCTAAAGCGAACAATGCCTAAGGTCAATTTTGAACAAACTTTCTTTTTATTATACATTTGTTTACCTTCAGTAAGCATTTAATGTAATCATTTAGTAACTGGTATTTTTCCCGTTCCCCCTAGAATCGACCAAGTACTTAGTGAGGATCAGCGCGCTTGGGTTAATCAAAGACATGAAGTAGTGTTACGACTGTTATCCTCTAATAGTCCAAACAATTCTTCGGGTGGTACGTTTGTTTCTACAGTAGAACGCATTCTGGAACGTGAAAGTTATTGGAATAGATGGAAGAACGATGGATGTCCTTCATTCATACGAAATCCTGAAAAATCTAGGTTATCTGTTAGGCAAGTTCTACTTTTTGCGAGAAGTTATTTTATTTGGGAAAGACGTTTGACTTATGGTAACTTCATGTTTGTGCTTGTAGGAAAAGACATATAAATCCTTTAGTTACTCGTACTGGTCAGAAAGTTTATCGTTTTGGTAATCGAGAGCTAGATAAACTATGGAATGTATGTCCGGATAATTTAGCTGCTTGTCGGGACAAACGGCGAGTTTTTAATCCAGATCTTCATTCCTATTTTCAAGATGCTATCATCGAAATGGACCCAGCGGAAAAAGTTGAAGAGGAATACAAGTAATTTTTTCATGATATAGCCTCAGTTTTTGAATTGCTAATGTATCGTTCACTATTTTTGCTTTATGTACTCAAATATTTCACGGTTATATAAACACATAAGTATCAACAAAGCGGCGTTGGACTTGGTGGCAGTTTAATTTAGAAGAGACATCAGAGAGAAGTTAATAAATTATGAGAATAAAAACCAATAATAGTAATTATTGGTAGTCAAACACTAGAAACGCAAAGTCTGAGACCGGAAATAAAGGAGGTTCACATGACATGATCCACCATTTATGGTATCTGTACCGGCGGGGTACATTCCGAAAAATATTTTCTTACCTGTGTTTACAGAGTGCTTAGCTTTTAAACAAACTTACAAACTAATATTAAAAGTCTGATGAAAGTAATTAAGTTTTCCTAAAATATCTAGAGCTCATGACCAGGTTCAAAGCTTTCATGATGATCCTAAGGATAAAATGTACCGCTGCGATTTGGATTGAATGTTCTACAACTATAGGATATTAGTCTCAATGAATTATAAAACCAGATATCATTACCAAGGTTTGATTTGATAATTTCGAATAAATTGAGCATTGGGTTGATTGTTATAAATAAATAATATATTTGTAATATCCCAATGAGTAGAAAAATTAGATTTTCTGACGTTTCTTGACTTAGTGTAAGTCACTTCTTCAGAGAATAAATAACCAAATTATTACAAATGTATTATTTATTTATAAAACCAGAGTTGTTCGGATATATTTGCAAACGCTAACGGTAGCACATAAAAAACTAATTGATTTGATTTCTTAATTTTACTGTAAGGACCTCTGTGAATATTTCATTTTGATCCTTATAGCCCCTTTAAAAATCCCAAAACAGATTATGTTGCATAAATAGAACGTAATTTCAATAATTATTCAGCCTACCCACATACTAACAGGGCATATATATATAAGCAATGTATTTCTGTTAGTAAAATTTTCTCAATAAATTAATGAAACTAAGAAAATGCCAAACATTTTGTGTTTAGCTACCTTTTTACACTTACCTGAAGATGTACGAGATTTATTTCCTAGCAATTGTTTGTTTTATGCATGTTTCAGATCGATTAATAAAGATGAATGGAGCTGGCGCGCTCTTCGCTTTCTTTCAAGAAAATGTCCACATTTTTACATCAACTGGAACCCACCTGGACGACCTGTAAAGGACTATTTATCAGTTATTCTCACTGAGAAAATTCAATCTGAGGTTAGTTACCTTCAGACTACGTTCTAAGGACAAAATTCAATTTTTGAAACTAATTGATGACTATAAATTCATGACTGATATATCCCCCCAGAGGTTAGTAGTTACAGTTACTTCCGTGATGAAGTTTATTCTTTTCATCTAATTTTCACGGTCCTGTTCAATGTGGATTGTTGTCTGTTTTTAAAGGACAATAAATTCTAAAGGACTAAAATGTGGGTTAGTTCATTATATCCATGGAAGAATATTGGACATCTGTAAGTGAACTGGCTTATCTAACGTGTTTGTATTCATGTTTTCTCACATTCATCATGTTCGTACTAAGTTTGTCTATAAAATTGATTTCAAGCGATATAACTTTCTAAATCTATAAACTAAACTTCTGATTTTGGTGTTTTACAATTTTAAAGTAAACTATCCAAACATTTTGATCGTCTCGTACTTCAAGAATACATTTGTGGGTTGAAAGTGAAACTATCCTAAAGCAATATTTTTTTATTGGTCCTTGCGGTTTCTGTGATATTCTTGTAACCCAAAGTCATACACTGTTCCAACTCAGTTGAAATTATGCTCAGTGTTGAATTGCATCTCCTGAAACACCAGTTTTACATAAGCGTTTTCTAGAAAGGTTAGAGCTCATCAGTCTTCTGTATTTGCACTGATATCTCATCACTGACCAATCATTTATGTTCCTTCGATCATCATGATTTTCGGGTTTAATATCCTTATATCTACATTGATTTTCTCTTACAGTACCATTAAAAAGTGTGGCGATATGAACATATAAACGTTTGTCCCATGACCTACCTGAATACTGTGACTCATATATGCTTCAGATACTGGTTTATGTACTTTGATCTACATTATTTGCGTAAGAGCTTATGATACCACTCGACTGACCAAACCGAAATTGGTGGAACTAGGGTTTGAATCTGTGATTTATTGACTGAAAGCCGAGCGTTTTAAATCCCGACTGTTGCTGTTACTTTGACGTGGTGGTCAAGCTTGCCTGTCGTGATGAACTAATCGGGCTACACTGGCTAGAACGCTTGTTCCTCAAGATCCTACCATGTCAGATAAATGCAGGTCCAGTTGCCTAACAGTGTATTGTTGTCAACATTTAAGGTCACGAAAACTTCTCAGATTTGGATATTAAATATACATGTAAACGTGTTTAAAGTGAATTAGTTTTAATTGTTCTCTTATCAGAAGAATCTCAGCTTCAAATTTATCGAAAGTTTGTCACGAAATAAAACTGACTTTTCAATAAAAACCATTTGCATTATTTGAAATTGTATAATCTCAATTCTTTAAATATAAACTACATTTTTAACGTGACTCCAGTAAAATTTAATGTCGTTTCACCATAATGGATGACTAGCGGTAACTTTTTATTTAGTCACTCATTATTAAAACAATTGATCTTTTTTTACCGGTCTTTTTCTCACTTAGGAGGATAAAAAGGGTTCCACTAATGTTTCTGATTGTGACAATCGTCGTGGCTCTGATGGTAGTACTGGCGACTCTATACCTAATAAACAACCCAAACTGGAAGAAGCAGTTGATTCAACAATACTAGACTCTACTGTAAAGTCTTCCAGCTTGTCACGTACCCGATCAGTTCCAAATACCAGGCAGTTACAGGAACATACCTTAACTAAAGGTCAAACAAATGCCAAGTCATATGGTAGCCCTATGAAAACTCGATACCGTGATACATTAACAGCAGATGTTAGTTATGTTATATTTATTAACCACTCTCAATCTAATTAGTACAGTATATTATTTAAGTTTATTAACTCATGAAATCTATTGAGTTCGTGACACTGCGAATTGATTCCCCCTAGAGCCTTTGTTCTTTTATGTGATTTATTACATAAACTATTCTATGGTAACTATTACAAATTTGTAATCCTAAGGTTATACTTGAATTTCAAGTGCAAATATACGATTTTAAAGGAAGTGTTTTAAGATGGTAGAAATTTCATTATTTCAATACGTATGTACAAGTAACTAGTAAAAATTGTCAATATGCATTACACGACATCGTTATATAGCCTTGAGTAACCGATTGTAACGTTCTGTGAAAATATTTTCGGACTGATCCCTCATCAGCCAAATAGGCATATGTTTTCTCATTGTGTATTTTAAATAACTTAAAATTCAATCCTCAAATCTTTTATTACATATATCACTTTTGACTCCATTGACTTGATTTCTAGTAACTAATAGTTTAAAACTATTTCAAATCAGCCTTACCTAAATTCAACAATGATTCAGAACTGGTTATCCATAATTCACTAAATACATCTGAATTGCTTAAGTCAATACTCAACACAAATTTAAATTTATGAACACTAAATAGTTGTTTTAAATGTTTCCTGAGTCAATTTAGCATTATACATTCGTGATAGTTTACAAACAGAGTTTATTTTCTGTATGCATACGTTGGAGACCGAAATTCCAATCTAAGTTGATTGGTAATTTAACTGTGCTTATACCTTGTTATGTGTATTAATCAGAACTCGAGGCATTTAATTAATTTGAAGATGCATAACTGTCATACCAGGTCTTATTCAGACTGAACTCTTTTACCAAGTATAAATTATCGTACTGGATAGTTGGAGTCGCATTTTGTGGGAGAGCTGATAAATTCGCAATAGTTGTTACGTATTTCAGAACTTCAAACTATCGATACGGAAGAATAATTTTAATTTCTTTTATAATCGAAATCTGCAAATAAATCCTCTATAGTTAGTAGCAACTAGATACGTTGTATTATCCTTTCACTCTTTATGTAGATTGCTCGCTAACTGGTCGAAAAAAATACAGTGGTACGATAATAATTATTTTAAGATAAAGTATTATGTCTAGGTGGTTATTTAATAATTTGGTGCCTTTGTGTGTGTTTTTAACACTAACATTTAAAAATTTTGATGTTTAGTAAATAACATGTAGCATATATTAATAAAACTTGCTAAATAGTGTAGTAGTATTACGCCTTGTTTTTGTAGCGCTAAAATTCTTCAAAAAGTTGTTTTGTTACTTTTAACATTAATCTTTAAAATGCTGAACGTAAAGAAAAAAAACAAGCATTTCTGTTACCGTATTAAAAATACCACTTTCATGTTGTGTGATAAACGTCAGTTTATTGTATCTATGAATGCTTACATAGCATTAAGTTATTTTGAATGTAATATTATAGAGGCTTATAAAAAATAACTTTGAGTCAGTATGACTGAAAACTTAGTCAGTCGATCAATTAAGTGGCGACATTTATTTATATGACATTTAATATATCCGAAAATCAATGTTTTATTGATTATATAGCTTTGTAGTAGTAATAGTAGTAATTTCACAGTAATTTGCCAGAGATACTGTTGACCTGTGCTTTAACTACCGTAAGGATCTGTAATAATTAAGAAAGTAATGAATGTTTTGCGCTTGATTTTCATAAGATTATGCATTACATAAATAAATTTGTTCAGTTGTCTTAGGATTTCATGAAAACCTTCCTCAGTGTATAGTTATAAATGATGTACATTTTTAACCAGAAGTGGTTTGGTCTTATTTGGTCCTCTCCTGTATACGGAATTTTCTTGTGTTCTGGTATATTTTCCGATCCTATGTGCGCAGCCAAGGTTCATGAGAAACGATAGTGCTTCATCCATCATAAATTAAAAATATAGCTTTATCACACTTATGTTAACGTTTGTTGAATTAATCCCTTACAATTTAACTTTAACTTGTCTAATATATATTAAGGAAATATTGGTTCTTAATTTCACCCAATTAACTACAGATCATTTATGATCAGGTGACTAGTGACTATTTTATGCATAAGTCTTGTAATCTAAATGATGAAAATAACTAAGTGCTTAATTTGAAGTGCATATATATATATATATATATATATATATATATATATATATATATAACCTAAGCTACTTGATCAGAAGTATGTTATATCTCAGATTCAGCGGTAATAAAATTGATTTTCCACAGTTTTTCTTACTTTGGTTTGATAATGATAGTTCATTGAGCAATGTCTTTCTGTTTGTAAGTAAAATCTGCTTTGTCCATCTCCAGAGAATTATTACCATTTAGCGTACAAGTGATGTCTCTCATAGATAATGATAGATGTTATTTTTTCGTTGTTGCCGTTCAAATTCTTGCATTAACTAGCTGCAGTAGAGTTAAAAAGATCAACTTTCAATTACTACTATGAGATTACTCTTTACTTCAAAATAAAACTAGATGCCTATCTAGACTATAGTTTTACAACTGGACAAATTTCTTAGCTTTTTCGTGTAGTTTATATGCACAGCTAGTTACATTCTATTAGAACTAAAGGTAGACAATAAAATTTAAAACCATTTGCTTCATGCAAAGCTTCTAGTTGATTCTTTTGAGAGTATATTCCTTTCTGATACGACTGTTACTTAAAATCTTAATTTTTTTAGTCTTTTCATGAAATATGCATAGCGGTTAACTGACTAGTTACTTTAAACTCAACAACAATAAAAAACCTTGTCAATTACGTGGAGCTACATTATCATAAAATATTCGGACAATTATTCTTCAATAATCAATATCGACTACACTGTGATAATTGAAAGTTACGAATTGACGAAAGCGTATTTTAATCGTTTATTTTCAGTTCTACATAATGATATATTCTCATGTATATTTTTTGTCTCCATTTGTCAAAACAACTTTTCAGGATGGAGTTGATACAGCCTCAGGGAGTGATAATGATGCCAACGGTGATAATGATGGTGAATCCGATTCCATTACTGAATAACTGTGTGCATCAAAACATTGTGTTTGTAACTATAGATCAAAATTTTGTTCCATCATTTATAAGTAGTATATATAGCTATGCAAAAATAAATTTTTTGTTTCGCCTCTTTTTTGTTTAATTTCCTTGTGTTTTTGTAAACTTATGTCTATTTTTACATCCATTCACGCCTAAAAACAGTAATTGTGAATATTTTTCATGTTTGTGAATAAATATGTATATTTATCAACAATGTTTTAATTTGCTTGTTTGTTTCCAAGACTGATGTTATGGTTGGCTGTCATTCTTTTGGATTGCATAATTTTTACAAACAGTAACAGTTCATACTTAATTATATACATCATACCAGTACTAATTGCTTAAGATGAGGATAAAAAAATCAGATCAATTCGATTCTGCGACGAGCTGTTACATGATTTCTTTCAGAAGTACCATCATACAATTCAACTTGATGCGGTGTGTACAAGTAATTCTAATCAGTTTGTGACTCACATAAGTATATTTAATTTGTTATTTGAACTGCTCGTCACTAGTGTTTTAATCTTTTGTCAATTGATTGAAACACTTGTGTGCTGCACACGCTACACCTGATTATAAGTAATACCCCAACCAGAACACTGTTATCTTTTGCACTGAATTATTCACCCTATCTACATTGAAACACTTATTGTTCGACATTCTGTACCGTTCAAAGAACTGGTTAGGTATCGTTGAGATTGGAAGTAGGCACTCTTCCGGTGTAACGATTCATAGTATATTGATTACTTGGCACTGAATTTATACAGTGGATTCGACTGGTGGTTGGTAGCACTATTTACGCGGAAAAGAAACTTTCATTAACAGTCGTAGTTCTCATCACTATCAATAAATCTTTGGATATCTTTTGTGGAAGTTCTTACATCAGTGTTCTATGGAAGTTCTATCGGCTGTATTCTACTTTGTGTTCATCATAATGTCTTGTTGTTTCTTATATTCACCATGTATAACTTTCATTTAAAGTCCGTAAGTTTGTTACTGATTGTTCAAGCCATGTCCAACTATCAAGATAATGACAAATTCGATAAGTTGTTGGGGGTTTATTCTGAAAGATTATTACCTATAAATTTGTATATTTAATGTTCGCTTACTCATTATCTGTAGTCTAAATAACATACTGATGAGTTCTACCGAGGGTGTTACCCAACATGTGGGTATAAGAACTTTCCTAATCATAGGTTTGTATACGAAGTGTATCGCGTTTATTGAAATAGAAGATATCGTTTATTATTGTATTTTCAGCTCAACGAACGAAAGAAATACTAGGTTTCCTAGTCTTGCTCAGAAGCCTGCCTTCATCTCGTCTACAACAAGGATAAGTATGGTCTTATTAGGTTCCTACCTGAATTATCCCAACATTAAACATCTACATATCATTAGTGTTAACAATTATTCGGTGGTACAAAACTTAGATTCTCATGTTACAACATGAAGTCTGACTAATCAGTGATGTCGAAACTTGTTTATCTGGATCATAGCTGGGATAATTTATAGATCCACTCATATGTCATATTGAATTTGTTGGAGGGGACTAATCACAAATACGTCGTTCAATGAAGATCAAACTTCGACAAACTCTCTCGGAACATTACAAATATAGTGGCCCAGGATTACTAGCCAGAAGTACTTACATTACTTCAGTAAGGTGAGAACTAATACTGTGATGTGTTCTCACTGTTACAGGTCACTAGAAAGTGCAGTAATTCCTGTGTGATAACTTCAGACGTATCATTTCGATAAATGTTTCAAAACCCTTATACCTTTAATCAATGATCTACTAATTTGAGTTTAAGAAAACTGGGTCTTAAGGAATTAGATACCTTTTACCACCGATCGTCCACCATCAAGTACTAACTCTTTGAATTTTCGGTGCTCTATTCCTCTCGTTCGTAATGGGAGCTCTAGTTCACTAAAACATTCTGAAAAAAACCTATCATATATCCTTACTACTAATTTCTAGGATACACTGTGTTCATATGTGAATTAGAAGTTGGCTAATATAAGTCTCGATGAGTTTTGACCAGAACGTTACATAAGTTTTTTTAGTTGTTGAAATTATGTAGAAACAAAAAGTACTATGTTTATAAGTTATTTTACTTAAAGTAAAATATTCGATTATTCAGCATCTGAAGCATATTTCAGCAAAATGTTATAATTGTATATCAATTTTTTACATTATTTGCAGAAATACACATTAAGTTAAATTATTTACTAATTAATTCTTCTGTAAATTTTCATAATTTACACAGTAGTCTCTATAATTTCTACTTCAATGGAATAGTACTGCACATTCATAAATAAAATTAACAATCTGTATTAAAATTTTACTATGGGAAGTTATTCACCTTTTAGCAACCTGACTGTATTTGTAATGTTAAGAAGCGGTGCTAGTAAATAATTACGATAATTGTGTTATCCCATCAAATGTTTTGTCAAAGCTTACGCAAGTTAACAAACTACCTATAACGATTGGTTGAAACATTGCTGCTTGTTTTTCCAAAAAAAAGTTTACTTCACTGAATTAGTAGTCAAAATAAACTTGAAGGGAACCTCTTGTGATGGAAAGCCGTGTTTTTTTTCCAATCAATATCGTGTGGTAGAAGTGACATTATACTGATGAAAGTTGATTCACGCCTGTAGGTACCGGTTCTAGTATTAAAAAGTTTTCCTATGATTTCTGTATGGGATAGAAATGTACGTTTAATATTATGTTGTTTACAAAAGTTGTTCAACTTGTATTTATTGATTTTAGGAATCGCTTTCAAGTATTATATTCTCGATTATGTTTTTCAACCAACTACTAAGCAATTACGTGAACAAAAAACTTATTTTAGTGCTTTATTTAATAAAATTTCATTGTAATGAATAACACTAGTAATTGAGCTTTTCCCGTTTTTTGGCCACAGTTGTTTCATAGATCTAAAATTTAAGTTCCTGAATAGTCGTACTATACGAGCAATAACAGTGAATATTTTGTCAGGACTAATTATAGATGACTAGTGTAATACTCGTTATGAGTTGTTATCTTTGTACATCTTGTCAGCTAAATCGACATGTCTAAATCCCTGTTTTTGAGCTTCAGTCTACAAATTTTTTAAAGTCCAAAACAACTTATATGGTAAAATAATAAAAGTATTATCTACAACGAAAAGCTCGAATCCTAACTTACTTACTTACGCCTGTTATTCCTCGTGAAGGAGCATAGGCCGCTCACCAGCATTCTCCATCCAACCCTGTCCTGGGCAATCCTTTCCAGCTCTTTCCAGTTCTTATTCATCCCTTTCATATCCGCTTCTATTTCCCGACGTAATGTGTTCTTTGACCTTCCTCTTTTCCGTTTCCCTTCAGGATTCCAAGTTAGCGCTTGTCTCTTAATGCAGTTTGATGATTTCCTCAATGTATGTCCTATCCATTTCAATCATCTTTTCCTAATTTCCTCTTCCGCTGGAAGCTGGTTGGTTCTCTCCCACAAAAGGCTGTTGCTGATGGTATCCGGCCAATGGATGTTGAGTATCATGCGTAGACAGCTATTGATAAATACTTGTACCTTCTTGATGGTGGTTGTTGTAGTTCTCCAGGTTTCAGCTCCGTACAGTAGAACTGCCTTGACGTTTGTATTGAAGATTCTGACTTTGATATTGGTTGAAGGTTGTTTTGAGTTCCATATGTTCTTCAATTGAAGGAATGCTGTCCTTGCTTTACCAATCCTCGCCTTCACGTCTGCATCTGAACCTCCTTGTTCATCGATGATACTTCCCAGGTAGGTGAAGGATTCCACATCTTCCAGAGTTTCGCCATCAAGAGTGATTGGATTGCTGTTCTCCGTGTTGTGTTTGAGGACCTTGGTTTTCCCCTTGTGTATGTTGAAGCCTACTGATGCAGAGACTGCTGCTACGCTGGCTGTCTTTGTCTGCATTTGTTTTTGTGTATGCGATAGGAGGGCTAGGTCATCTGCGAAGTCCAAATCGTCTAATTGTTTCTGAGCTGTCTATTGTATGCCGTGTTTACCCTCAGATGTCGAGGTCTTCATAATCCAGTCGACCATCAGAAAAAAAAGAGGAAAGGAGAGAGTAGACAGCCTTGTCTGACTCCGGTCCTTATTTTGAATGCATCAGTCAGCTGTCCTCCATGCACTACTTTGCACTGTAGTCCGTCATATGAGTTCCGGATAATATTGACAATCTTCTCAGGAACTCCGTAGTGTCAAAGAATTTTCCACAACGTCCTCCTATCTACACTATCAAATGCCTTCTCATAATCAATGAAGTTGTTGTACAGTGACGAGTTCCACTCAATTGATTGTTCGACGATGATCCGTAGTGAAGCAATTTGGTCTGTGCACGACCGGTCCTTACGGAATCCAGCTTGTTGATCTCGAAGTTGAGCGTCTACTGCTTCTTTCATCCTGTTCAGCTCGAATCCTAAATTTATGTGTAATTGAATTCCCACAGTTAAATGATAAGTACTGTTCAATCAGTTTAATTGATCAGTTATTCAGTCAGCTACAACTTACGACCAGGCACATATATGCATCGGTCCAATTCGCCACACCACTATTACAACAAGATGAACATCAAATTCATAGAAGTAGTCAACTCAATGGTAGTAATGTATTACAAAAGATTGTATATAAGGATATAGTACAGGAAGAAAGAATTAGTTGGTAGAAAGAAAGGTATAAAGCAATTTTAATTTTCCAGTTTAAGGGAAGACAACGAGTGTATACACCTACACCATTGTGATCGATTCTGAGCCATTTTACTTGGTCTCCAACCATTGGTTACGATAGTCACGCGGACCTGACCAAGTAGTCTGCATCTATCCACATGGCTGAAGCCAGAAGTTAGCGACTTGATAAAATATTATAAAGCGAAAATAACAAAACGTTATGAGATAAGTAAATTCGAGTGCATATGTAGATGGCTTACAGCATATGAAATGAAATACAATCTCACTTCACCTCACAATGTTTATTACTTTTGTTTAACTAGAAGTAATTTATCTATAGATTTGATAAAGAACGCAGTGTGATTAGTTATGAAAGTAAGCCAATTTCGTGCGAAGTCATATACATTTGAATGTAACTATAAAAATGGAAACTCATTTGAAATTATTTTCCCATAACATTACTGTCGTATTTTGATACTATAGAGTGCGTCAGCTTAACATGTTTCCCTTTTCTGTCTGTCTTAAGGATTTATGATGTAATAAGTTAATCCTGATGTATTGTAAATTTAACTACCAGCTAGTTACAACACTCAGTATGGTGTAGCTAGGTATTTAAAGACTATATAAAGAAATGTATTTAGTGCAAACCGACTTGAGTCATAAGTTACTTGTAGAACTCAAGGTGAATCCTGATATTGGTTTTTATGAAATTCTTTTTCTATGCAAAATGTTCATTAACAGTTTTGCACTAAATCACTCAAATTATCGTCTAACCAGAGTTTACTACAAATTAATTTCTGTCAATCAAACTTGTTTACTAAAATAAAATTAGCTAATGAGGAGTCCACTAATAGGACGAAACGGCCGTCCAGTGCTTTCAGGTTTTCCATTGTGGTTTAGCTTCAACTGACTCATGATCTCAACCATTGAAATTAATGATTTATTGTTTGCTTATTTAATTTTTGTATGAAAATATCATTATTACCCTATTTGTAGTTCTATTACTTAAAAAATATTACAAAAAATATAATATTTACTGTGATTGTAACATCTTTCTCGTTTACAATTACTGATCTTTTACATGAATCCTTATCTCAGGTAAAATTTAGATGCAATTTGTATATTTTTAAAAAAAGAAATGTTTAATTATACTTACTATACATAGGTATATGGTGTATATTAAATGAATTGTTACAATGAATTACGTTTGTATCAATTTTGCTCTAGGGGATGCCTTTTTGTATTACTTAAAGTGATCCTAAATAGTAAATATTCAGTTTGGGATTGTGGAGTTTCATTGAGATTGTGAACCGATCAACACTAGATCGGGTTTTCAATGTTGGTCCAACATTGATCGGTTCATAATTTCAATGAAATGATAAATAATCTACTAGGCGTAAATCTATTCCTGTACTCATAATTGGCTAAATATTTCACTTCATTATACTGTTAAGTCTTTAATATTAGAACATAAAAAAGTGTTTGGAAATATTTTCATCGCTTTTAAATTGTTACATCTTGTTAATTTTTAAAAATCAGAATTATATTAAATTCACTGTAACAAATATTCAACTGTATACATTTTTCGTTTAAAACAGTAAATCATTCATTGTATAAGAAAACATGTGTAAAAGTATCATCCAGACATGATAAACCAACTATATTGTTTCCATTATCATCATTTCATTTCTAACAAGAGTATGACTTTTGTTCGATTCTACTTGATTATTTCAAGCATAAGGAATTAGAGTAGAATCTTTCAAGTTCTAGTTCACTATATTTTTAAAAATACATCGTATTATAATTAGTTTATTGTCACGTTTTTATATACCTCTGATTATATACACAATAAGGAAACTGTTGTATTCTTATAACATGGTAAAATTTATTTCTGGTAATAATATAATGAGTTTTATTGTTATTACGATACGCTTCATATTACTTATTTTGTGTTAAATATGTGTATTTCATTACATGAATTAACTTTGACTACATTCGAGTTAATAAAAGTAATTTCAAATATTTGTTTTTTGTACAAATACATAATTCTTCAGACAATTTTTGTTTTAAGTTAGTGTGAAACTTTAATGTTTCATTACACTACTAAGAACGCGTTAGTAGATAGTTTCCTATCATGGTGATTTTATTATCATTAGTAATTATACATTTTTCATGAGTGTTACGCTACCTGAATCTACTGATTTAATTGGTGGAGGTATCATTGCCGTTCTGAATAACGTTATTATCTGTGTTCTAGTAATCTTCAGTATTTCAGGATGTACATGTATATCTTGTGCATTGGTTAGACTTGTCTAAAACAAAACTTAAATTCGTCTATTTTTCCATGTTGTATAGAGAGTTTTCTACATTCAATGAATTGTAAAGTGGTATTTCCTGTTACTAATCATTTTTCTTACCAGTTATTGGTCTTTCTTGGTATATAAACTGAGTGAATTTTAATACATTCCTATAGCTCACAATTGGATAGATTGTTTATAGTGACGTGCAGTGAAATACTAACAAACATTGATCATCCCGAGGTGTTTGCATTAATTTGATTGTTTCATCAACCCATAACGGAAACTAATGTATCTTACTAATAATTAACACACGGATTGGCCATTAAAATTCAATGGTTCAGATGTGAACACTAGTAGGTTCTATTATCACGTTTCAGATTATTCACCATATAAGTTCTAAATAGCATGAGACGTATACTCTTCGGCCTACACTAATAAAAATACAATACGCTAGTAAAATTGATATAAATATAAACTGATTAGTAGATTACTCTATTTGCAACAACGCGATGCTATTAGGTCTGATTTCCAGACTAAATTATGTAAACTTTAATGATTGTTTGACTATAAAAATCTTTGTTGTTTTTTATCGATATTACATAATTTTGTTCAGAACTATATTGTTCTAATATTGTAGATTCAGTTTATAGTAAGACCATTTAATCTCGTCCATGTGTTCATTTTTCATTGGCTTACAGAAATAGCCTGGATTTAATTTACTTTCTGCTTATTGGTCAGTTAATCATATATATATATATATAAACATATAAACGCTTAATTTTATTATCGTATTCAAATTCGTGTGAATGCAAAAAGGCAATAAAGGACTTGTACTGGTAACCGGTGGTTCCGGGTTTATTGGAAGTCATACAATTGTGGAACTGGTCAATAATGGCTATTCAGTTATCACTTTGGATAACTTAAGTAATTCCAGTATTAGTAAGTTTTTGCGTTTTCTATCCATGTTATAGTTGAATTGTTCAATGTTAAACTTAGAGTTACGTGTTAATTGTTGAATATTGATTAGCAAGTGATTTACATATCCAGTACTTAATTTGTTGCCTACTCTTTTCGATCAATTACTTTTTTATTCGTAAATTCTACAATGTAGTTTTCTTATTCTATGCATTAAGAAATGTTGAGTTGTTAATTTTCATTGTTTACCGATAGAAGCGTCGGATCAAAACTATTAGGATTGTTTTATTTGCAATTATTAGTGTCATTTTCAGAATTGTTGTGTGATACACCATCATAGAGCTAAGTACTAGGTCACAATTATCGACCTGGGTTAGATGTATTAAGGTTAATTTCGTAAGGTAGTATGATTAACTGTAGTGTTTCTGGGATAGTTATCAGTCTAATAGGAAATCAGAATGTGAATTCTTTGACGAAGTCATTATAACAAAAGATTTTATTTTGATTCCCATAACTGCACTTAGATATATTGTGTGGTAGTTAAGTCTTATTGCCAACTGTGATGGGAAACGTATACGGAGACCGAATGAGACAGAATGCAACTCCACAACTTAATGGGTGAATGTCGCACTGGTCCGTTGTTAGCATACTTTTTTACGATACTCTAAATCTGTGTCAAGATTTTATTGAATGCCAAACTAGGGTTATTCGTGGAACTATTCAAAGTGCTTCGCTTCATATTTCAAAATTCTGTGGAAATGGAGGATATTTCTGGCACGTCATGCATTAAATTGGTGCAGAGGGCACAAATTGTTTGCCCCAAAGACTGTATACATTCATAATATTTTCAACTAACAAACGACATCTCTACGACGGGTTATACATACCAATTGTTTCAGTGTGCTTCATATTACTTTTAATATAAATAAAGTTCTTCATAGTTTGGAATTTTTGGCTTAAATCTATTTCTTTTTCTTAATTTAGTTCACTCTTTTTACGATATTTCGGTGAATCATTTAATGAGGCTGTGAACGTTTAGTGATCAACAAGATTAAAACATGGTATACGTATACAACACTCTATTACCGTTGCGTTTGATGCTGGTTAACATAATCGACTGAATAATGGTTTCGAGAGGCCAAATAAAACATTGATGTCAGTTCACTTGAGCCATTCTGTGAGATATAAACTTGAGAGTCCACATTATAGTCCCAAGCAATAGATGAGAACATTAGATGAACGGGTTAAAAACCAGTGACAATAATGTGATTGTGTTCACTCCTTACATTTTAACTCTTGAGTTCGGTTATTACTCAATATTATTGGCTGCTTCATTTGAATTATTCTATACAAACCACAGTCTTTCTCTTCAGTACTCACAAACATTGATGTTATTAGTTCAATGTCTGGGTCTTTCGCTGTTGTTAACTGACTTATTCCCATCGTTATTCAAATACTAAATGAATTTTTTCAGATTATGTTATTTCAATCAATATCTTATTTTAACTTACAGAATGTATAGAACGTATTGAAAAAATAATTAATGAGAAATTGCTTTTCTATGAAGTGAACTTATTAGATAAAAAAGCTGTGAATGATATCTTTGAAAAAGTATGTTCATTCATCTACCTATGTGTATTTCTTTTGATAATTGTTTTATAAAAACAAACCAACACTAAACATTACTGGCAAAAATGATAATGCTACTAGATTTATGAAAATATCGTGATGTTGAGCATTTTATCTAACGTCTAAGTCATTTTTTACGGAGTTTTATTCTTAGACAAGGTTTTAATGAGTTTACTTATTAACATTTGATTAAAAAGTCAAATTGTACTATGTAAGCTTAGGGATCTGTGAACATTAAAGATCAACTATGTTAGGTGTGAGACACTAATGATGCTGAAAATTGATTGCACAGTATCATGAAGTGAGTACAGTTAGAAATAAAAATCATTGGATTCTAACTCAGTATTTTAAAGATTAAGCGCTAACAGTAAAACCTAAAGATTATGAATTTAATTTTCTATGAAGAATGACATTAATTGAAAGACAAGAAATATTACAATGACTGTTGTTCCTTAGTCTTATAGTCTTGATTACCGTACAACCAATACGAAGATAGGAACCATCATCTTGAATGAACAATACTTCCAATTCGGTTCTCAGTAACCTGATAATCTTTTCTAAGACTATAGTGGAATAAATGTGTTTCTAAATAAATTTGTCGATTTTTTTCACTGAGATATTGTTATTATTAATATTGACATATCAGTTTATTTATGAGGAAAGAAAATGTTCACTGTCCGTTCACTATTTTTTTTATAATTTCAGCATAAAATTGATTATGTCATACACTTTGCCGCTTTAAAATCCGTATCAGAATCAATTGAAAAGCCTATACAATATTACAACAATAATTTAGTGGGTATATTGAATTTATTGCAGGTTAGTCAAATTAGACATTATTATCATTACTATTAATATTAATAATATCATTATTATTGGTGATGCTACAAGTAGACGACTAAAAATTGTGATGACTATAATTTATAAACAACCTCCGAGCCACGCCCGTGACCTTGAGGATGCCCATCTACTGATTAGGACTAAATGAGGGTAATAAAGCAATGTGAGAAATTAGAATTATGATTTACAGTTTATGATTAGGGTCAGGAACTAGATTTAGGGTTCGCATCACGAACTGACACCAGCTAGAAAACCAAAACGCTATTTAGCCAAAGAGATGTATGGATTTCACGCCAAAATCCAAGACCTATCTCACATCTGATTGGTTCGTCCATATGTCATAGTCTCGCCAAAATTGTTGATCACCAATTAACCCATCAACATAATCAGATTCATACATTTGATGTTTCTATAAGTGTTTTCTTTTTGTTAAATAACACATAACTTGACTTGTTGTTCAAAAATCACTATTGTATAAAATAATGTGTATATCATATACTCTCTAGTCTTTTAATATATATTACTTTTTTTTCGCTAGTTTTTTATACAATGTAGTTTCATTAAAGTGAATACAGTTTTACATTTAATAGATATAAACAAGTTTTTCATTTATATACATATATCTTATAGCTTGTAAATATGTTCTATGACTAGCATCAAGTTACGTTTGCGGGACGACACCACAAACTGTAAGGAGACTTCGATACTGAATACAATAAATCTTTCAAAAGAAAAATCTTGTAAAGAAGATTTATTAGAGAGACCAAATATAGTTAATTCAGCTGTATGGCGATTAAGTCCAGTGATTACTAACTAGCAAAATTATCAATTGAGCAATCGTCACTTTAACCAAATTCACAGTAAATAAATCAACACAATGAGAATACATTGAAAGTTGATTAACTAACTTGATACTGAATGATTTAATACAATTGAAATTTTACTGAAAATAAATTAATTGATATTAAAGTTAATGTGTAAGAATCACTTTACTTCAACTTATAAATTTTACGATTGATTTTTCCGTTATACTGTAGTTTTAAAGGATTAACATCCCCAACACCGTCACCATGACTAGGGATTCAAATATCTAGGAATATATATATAGTCTGTTAGCAAGCATATTGTCACTGTGAATTGACTCATTAGGTTAGAATCATTCTGTAAAAATTATTAATCACATATAGTTTTGAGACTTGAAAATAGTCGAGTGTAATGAATCATACATCAAATCAATTGAATTTGGTCAGATTCTGGTGTACCACTCAAAATTGTACATTTTATATAAACAGGAATTTCGTAACGTTTTTAGGGGTGTTTTGTTCTCTGAGTTATTTGGTTCAGTCGCGAAGCTTTTATTGCCTTTCTTAACGACATCAGCACACATCTTAATAAGAAGCGGGTTATCAGAATTTATTCGCAAGTGACTAGCCACATGTTTTACCGATCTAGAATTCGATTGATTGTTGTCTATAGGCGTGCGACCGCTGTTTGCATGTTTGCACTGTCTCCGCCTCTGGCCTTGGAGTCGTTTACCCTTTTTTCATTCGTTGGTAGACTGGATCCATCTCCATATGTGTGTTGGTCAACTCGTTGCTAGAGAATTCTTTATTTTTCTTCCTGTTTTATCCACCCAGTATTCCAACGTTTTCTCAATCGAAATCATGTCTATAGTTGTGCACTGCCTCTGAATTTGTAAACTATGATAGCATCGACCGACGTATTTTGTTTATTACTATCGTTATTCATGCGAATAACCGTAAACATTTTCAAACTGGTACAACAATATCATTGTGTCACGATTATGTGATTTAGAATTGTTTTCCATAAAATTTCTTACTCTCAAATGTTATAATACAGATTAATTTATTCGGCATCAAAATACCAATATTTAAAATTATGATCATTACCATTTAGAGGATAGTCTGTGATGTATCTCGGGAACTGCTGTTAGTTTATTAAATCTACCGTACCGTTTATGTTGTTTGAAATAATTTCAAACATAAATGTCTCTCTTTATATGGGGTCTTGTAGAGATTATATATCTCGAAATGGCTACTTGGAGTTAACATTTATTTTATAGTCATAGTTATACTTGTAAACTGATTGTGTTTAGTTACAATACTACTTGAAAATTGGATTTCCTTTGTTTTTGATTAAATACCATTGTTGTATATGTGTAATTTAACCATTAACTTATAAATTTAATTTAATTATAAATTGGGAATTTTTGTGACAATACAATTAATATTGTATTAACGTATTGTCTACAAATTCTCTATATTTCAATTATTAATCGATTGAAACCATAGTTAATCAATCAGTCAGTTAAAGTTGTAAGTTGAGTGTAATGAAATGCGAAATATCGAGTTGATCGGATTGTTTTTTTTTGTATGAACATAATACAAATAAAAACAAATAATCATGAAACATTTAAATTGTACAATAATTTAATTCTTTATTTATAAATTGGAAAATAAAACATTCACATGAAAGATGAACTTTCATTTGTGATATTCAGTTAATTTATTGATTTTTAATTTTCCTATAAAATAAATACAGTTTAGATTTTCACTTAATCGACTTTATAGTTAAATACATCATATAGATGACCCGAATTATGATAATTGATTTAGAATATGGCTAAATCATAGATTGTTGCTTATCATTTAGAAAATCATTCATTTTTTACATGATTTAGGTTCATTTACTATTCAGTTTTTGGCTATTAAACGTTATAATTAGTTTCAAAGGTAAAATAAAATCGTTGTTAGTCAGTGCCAAATCACTCTGTTAGAAAATATTTATGTAAACAACCATCGAAACACAATGAAGGAGTAAACAACTCTATTATCCTAGTATATAACTCTTTAGCAGTGACTATCTTGCATTTCTAGTGAGAATTTATGGCCAATGGAGTTGAGCCATATCGAATGTAAGGCAGTTAGTCACTAATGACATTAAAAGGTGGTTGGATTATATCAATAATTGATTCAAGTCGGAAACAAAAACCATTGGATTCAAACTCACTTGTTTAGAAGTTAAGTACTCACTGTGACTTCAAAAAATGTCCTTTCTAGGCTATTAGATACACACTACCGAGGAGTCCTATACTAAGACGGAACGACTCTTGAGTTATTGTTAGTTTTCGCTGTTTTTTTTAAAAAACTAAATTCAGTAGTTGATATAAAGTCTAAAATTCAACAGCCTCTACAAACATTATGTTAATAATCACGCATTAATATCTAGTGTATATATTTTTATTATTTAAATAAAGGATTGGGGGTATAAAACTTCATTTTGTTCATCATTACTTGTATATTGTGTGCGTACGATATATAAATTAGGCAAAGTATAGAATACCTACTTTGTTATACTCTTCTGAATAATTAAATTTTCAAAATCTTCATAGTGTACGTACTCTACTCATTTCTAACCATTTGTCTAAGTAGTTTTAATTTTCTTCCGATTGATTAATTAATAGATAATCTTACACTGAACTTTTTGATGTTCTTTATTTTTCTTTTAATTGGGATTGTTTAAATGATAAATTTCTCCTGTGAAATTCAGTAGTTGTTCAGTTTATTATTTAATGCATAGAAAGTATACATTCTATTTGATACAGACAACACAATGATGTTTTTATCAAGGAGTATTTTTCTACCGGAATTAAACAACCACTCTATCAGAATAATTATATTTTGGGGAAACTAAGTCAAAATTGAAGCATATAATGTGTTTATTGGCTGACGGCATCACGATAAAAACAATTAAAAAAGAATACTCTTCTTATCCATTATATAGAAAATACGGATCATTATATTTTTAGAGTTGCCTATACTTCATCAGTGAAGTATTTTAAAGATTATTTTAATCTGAAGATGGTCTTTTTCACAAAGCGAGATCTTTCAAAGGATAGGAGCTTTATTGATTTGCATATGGTTGTTTTTAATGTTATCTGATAGAAGGTTCTTGAAAGTGTATATTTACAATTTCAGCTTGTTCTTATATTTAGTTTAATGTTTACTTCATTATCATTTGGAAAAACACTTCATCTCCATGTATCATTTCTGAAACAAATAACCCTAATGAAACAGTGATAATTGATTTCAACTTCCCTTTTTATAATTTTAATGAAATAAAATCTTTTAAATTATTTCGTATTCAGGTGATGATTGCGCATAATGTTAAAAATTTCGTTCTGTCCAGTTCTGCTACTGTCTATGGTGAACCTCAGTTTTTACCACTTACGGAACAACATCCAGTTGGAAATTGTCAAAATTCATATGGTAATACAAAACTTTGTTGTGAATTAATACTGAAGGTAAATTAAATGGTAATAATACCAATATTAGTAATAATAATGGTTCTTGTTAATGCATTAATTGTAAACTTAGATTTAAAAAACCATTCCTTTGATAAATTTAAACAGAGCAAGAACAACAAGGTTCGCAGAATAAAATAAATTCCTTCTATTTCACGGTTTCTCACCAGCTGCATACAATCTAAATTTACAATTAATAATATGAATATAATTATCAACAAATGTTTGGCATACTTGTCCGTGAAGTTTAGATTAATGTTTGAAAAGTAACCAAAATCATAATAATGGTATGAAGAATACCATTCAAACGTAGATCAATACATTTCCGACATCACCTCCACTCGCATTTATGAATTTACATATACCTGCTGTAGCAAGTACATATGAAGGACAAAGAGAAGAGCCTTTACAACATTTTCTAAACACGTTCCTAGGAACATGCGGTTGAAAAGGAGCGAATTCTTTACACGTGCAATTACCAGACGTCTTGATACTAGATATGAAGTGAATGTAAGTGATGCATTCAAAACCATTAACAGACAAAAACACCAATGTCATTCCGTTTCGTAGAGACGATCTCTAACAAACGTTTCTGACCTGACCTATGTGTATACAAGGAAAGTTTAATTAGCTTTTCCCTTCTATGATGATTGAATATTTGTTTAAGAACCTTCGTTAATTTTAATTTTTGTTTTTATCAATCTTTCGTCTTCTGCTATTCATCTATTACATAATCTGATTGATGTTCACATATTTGTTTATTTTATCATGTTGAGTGGTTAACCAATCACTTAGTAATTTCATTATCCTTACATAACCTTTTAATGATTACTCCCCAGCGTATAAATACACATAGACGTTAACTGTGTTTATTCACACACTTTGTATCTCTACTTTTCAAATATTTGTCTAAACGTCACAGACAAAAGTATGCCAAACATTTGTTAATGATTATATTTATATTAGTAATTCTAGGTTGTGTGCAGCCTATAAGAGACCGTGAAATAGGCTAACAAGTTCATTTTATTCTACAAACCTTGTTGCTTCTGGATTGTTTTATTCATATCTTTCTAGTTGAATTTCTCTGAATTATAGTGGATAAATGTTAGTGTTCTCGTTGAAACTTGTAAATGTCATTCACAAATCGTTAGATTAACTTAAATCTCATAATGATCAATGCACAATCTAATTTTTAATTAAAACTAATGTTTGATAAACTTTCCAATTATCATTAGTATTTGAAGTGACAAGTAAGTTTGATTTGTTTCTGATAACTTTAATATAAAAGATGACTTTTGAAAAAAAAGTGGAATTGATCAATTTTATTCAACATATTTCGAAGGTATTTGTACCATTTTTTAAAGCTTATTTTGATCAAAATCTGTAATTACTTCTATATCTGAATAAAAAAGTGTTTATAATGACCAAAATATGGTGACTTTTTATATTGACTGTAAATTAGACTAATCAATGATCAGTCAATCCTAGTTGTAATAGTAGTACTGTTAACCGTAAAATTCATAATAGAAAATCAATCAAAGTTAGAACATAATAAGTAACAGAAAAACTCGTGTCAGGATAAACTCAATACACATGTACCTCTGGTTTTATTTGACGTATTACAACTGTATGTGTTATGTGAATGATTTAAAACTATTATGGTTTAATATTTTAGTATTAACGTGTTTATAGTAACGAGTTATCAATTTCACCTTATTATTAATTGGACTGAACACAATTAATGCCTCCTTTTCCATTCTTTATAACTAAATAATATTTTTATCCATTTGTTAAACTCCGTAAAATTTTCATTAATTTTCCACTTAAATTGACCATTATTTCCAATTACTAATAATCAAATACAATGGCATCTATAGAGCCTACTTATTCTTTCTAAATGATGTCTTACTCTTAATTTATTCCTAATTTTGTATACATTTCATTGAATATTGTTCCTGTTAAGGATCTATATACGTCTGATCCTACATGGAATATTATAAGTCTACGGTATTTTAATCCAGTTGGTGCACATGCCAGTGGATTAATTGGTGAAGATCCACGAGGAATTCCAAATAATCTAATGCCTTATGTGACTCAAGTAGCCAGTGGTTTATTACCTTACGTAAATATTTATGGAAGCGATTATCCAACAGTCGATGGGACAGGTTAGTATCCAGAATTTATTCATGGACTGATATTTTTATGTAAACAAATTTTATTAGTTTCTTTTTATTACACTTATTATTTTAGAAACCATTGAAGATATACAGATAGTAAAAATAGCGTTTTTAAATGTTTATTCTCAAAACAGATGTGTATTCTAATTTATTTGTAAGAGATTAATTCTTTCAGTTGTTCACATTAAAGACAGTAATTGGTCTAACTGTTTTGGCAAATGAGCATCCTGAAGCGATCACCTCAACATTACCATTAAGTCAGAAGCATTTTTTAGGTAAAGTTGAATAATGGCCAGTATTATATTTATGTATACAGTGAGTAGAGTGTAAACAGTATTATTCACGTAATAATGGATATAAAGAATGTGAAGGGAAATCAAATAGATACTATCACTAACAAATTATTGTCATGTATGAAGAATTAAAGTATCGTTGGGACCACAATGATATGAGATGTTGAACACGTGGCTTTCGTACACGATGTTACAGCTTAAACATTAAAAACTTGAATATCTTTCAAAGAGAGTATCGTAGTGAAAAGTAAGGTTTTTAATCATCTCATTTTATTCGCTTTTTCATTTTCATAACTTTATTGCTGTTGTTTTTTTTTGGAAAAATATTTCAATGAAACTGTTCGATACACTGAAATTATTGGAATTGTTGCTATTTTAAAAGTAATGATCGAATTACTTCATCATGTTTAACATTATTATTTCTCTCTTCATACCGTTGTCTAGGTGTTCGAGACTATATTCACGTTGTTGATCTAGCTGAAGCCCATACTAAATCATTGGATAAAATCAAACAGAACTGTGGTTTAAAGGTATTTATTTCTCTTTTTTAATAAAAATTGAATATGTATACGTGTATATTAAATAAGGTTTGGTTTGATATTGATAATTTAATATTGTTTCTTTGATATAACATCAAATACAACTTCTATTCACAAATTTACTCATAAATTCCTTTATACTTATAATCCTTACTGGATGACTCAATCAAGTAGCTTTAAATAAAATGTTTTATGCATAAAAATGAAAGGGATTCAGTTATAAGCGGCTAAACATTTAAGAAATATCAATAGGGGTTACATCTTCATCATTACTATTGACTTTAAACTATATCAATTAAACTTTAACCACTAAATGCAATTCTATCCTACAAAATCTAGCCAATAAGATTTCATCTCTTTGTACGGGATTTTACTAGCTGACTTCATATATTGATATCATGTTTTAATTCGGTTAATTTCTGCATTTGTCTAGACTATCCGTACTCCTCCCTCCCAATTTATCATGGCACTATGGTAAACAATGAACGGACATTTGTAATATGTATCCTAGTTTTCTCGGTTGACAAATTTCTATCACCACCTCAATTAATTCTCTTATCTTCATCAAATACTCTACACCTAACTTCAATAAGGGATACAAACCATGCATTTCAGAATTTAGGTTATTTACAATTGACAAAAAATATTGTGAAGGTTGCTTCTTATCATTATTTTTAAACATACCAAAGATTAGACATGACAATATTAAACTATTTTTATTTTAGTATATGATAAATATTTTTGGCATTTGTATAGTCGAATACTTTAAATATTGCAAACTTGTACTATTAATGTGTGATAGTCTAGTTTCCTATGACCTTTTGTTGTATCAATAAACAACTTTTTATGTGAAATAATCCGTTCAGATTTAAATGATATCCTATCTTGTGTACAATTTAACTGTAATGATCCCGCACTATAGCGTAATAAAACATTCTTCACAACCAATGTATATTGAAGTTTATTCAAATGAAGTTCTTTCATACAGTCTTTAGTTATTTGTTGATAAATGTCTTTTTTGTAAATTTTTTGAAAACAACTAGCAAATTTTATTTTATCAAATTCAAATCATACGCTTTGCTCTAAAATTTCTCGAGTACTACTTACCTAGTATAACAAGACTCAAATACATTAGAATCCATACTCACTAAGACTGAAATATAAAAACTCTACAATACTTTATATAGCAAATGTATACTATGCAATTGGAACTTTATAAAATTAGATTTAGACGAAAAGTTTTATGGTTAAAGATATATACCTGTGAATCAATCTGGTAAAGAATCTCTATTTTTTATTGGACATATATATATATATATATATATATATATATATATATATATATATTCTACAAGGTTAATGAAAAATGGGATAAACATATCACGATATTTTATGTTGAGTATTCTTTATATTATTGAACACAAAATATAGATATTCTCTTACCAGTTACAGTTTTTGTGTATTTGGCCTCTAGTCACTTTTTAACGGAGGACTAGCGACAATGCATGATTCCCCGAATCAAAGTAGGTGTGGAGGGTCTCGACCACATGACTTAGCTACTAGAAGTTAAAAGCGTGAACCACTAACTACCACTTGAAGTATTTAATATTCAATAAAGCAGTTATTATTACTCTTGTGTCTGACGTAACGTTAAGCTGTTTTTTTCTAAGAATAAATGAAGTTTCAATGAAAGAAACATTTTAAAAATCCATATTTTGAATTACAATTGTCTATTGTAAAGGAGTTGAACAATGTTCTTAACGGAATAAATATAATCGATAATCACGTAAGAATATAAAAACAACTAGTAACATAATTATATGAGAAAAAGATGATAATAAATTTTCCGAGTTAAAGAATAATAAGTCATTTGTAAGTCGCTCTTGTCTATTCCGTTATGTCGTAGATGGAAATATTGGGGGTTTGTTGATGATTATATCAAAGAACGTAGTTATATATATATATATATATATATATATATATATATATCCCTTCCCTCGCCGTTCTTCAGATTATATTTATTTTTTCTTACATGAAGCAACGAATTACACTTATGTAATTCTTAGTAAATACTTTTGTTATCCTGTTGCTGATATTCACGACCTCGTTTGAACAGTCTTGACATTTTTGCATCCTGTGCAAGCGCTGCTTACTTCGGTATATCCATTTTATTACAAGTTATTTTAAATAAATGAGCTATGGCTATTCTAAACCAACCAATTGTACTTAAGAAAATTATTTTATTCAGTATTTTGTCATTGTTTTTTTCGTTAGATATATAATTTAGGTACAGGGCAAGGATATTCTGTATTACAAATGATTGAAGCGATGGAAACAGCAAGTGGTAAAACAATTCCTTATACAATATGTTCAAGACGACCTGGTGATTGTGCAACTGTTTATTCAGATGCATCATTAGCTCAACAAGAGTTAGGATGGAAAGCAAAATATAACATTGATGTAAGTGTGATTATGTGTAAAGAATAAAGAAAATAAATTTATTCGGCCAGACTATAATTTATGAACGGACCAATCAAATTCAAGATATAAAGTCCTGAATTTTTGCTCGAATTTCATTCGTTTATTTGATCAAATATCATTTTGGCATTATAGCTGATGTCAGTTCGTAATGAAAACCCTAACTATAATTTCTTATCGTAACTTCTAACTCTAAATCCTGATTCGGATTTCTTACATCAATTTATAACCCTCTTTAAACCCTAATAGGTAGGTGAATTTTCTTTAGGTCACTCTGGCGTCACTCACAAGTCGTCCATAAATTATAGTTTCACCATTTATTCTTCCACGTCATAGTCGGCTTTTGCTTACAAAAATCATTTCACATGGATAAGTTCGGTTGGATTAACAATTGTATTGCTGACTGCTTTTTTTTATTTCCGTGACTCTCGCTGAGCTACTAACCTTCTCTTTAGCATAAACATCGGTAAAACTTCTTTTCACTGTTGTATACAAGTGAGTCGAACTAGTTAGTTTCAGTCGGATTCTACATCATAATTTATCGATTAAAACAGTTAAATACTGTAATGACGTAACTAAAGAACCAAAAAAATGTGTTAAGATAGGATGGGACTAGCATTTGAATACAGCACGCACGTTTCGTCCTATTCTTGACTCGTCGGATAGATATGCCTACATCCCAGAGTTGATGTTCACGCCGAGGCTATATCAAGGCAATCTGCACAGGATGCCCATATGCAAATCAAGACCAATCGAATTTCAGTCAAAAATATCAACAGTATAATGCAAACCGTCTCAAATTGCCTTTGTTGGTTCCACTGTCCTGCAGCATTCTTGATCGAAATATATTTTCTCTTGCTGATTGAGTCAAATAATTAATGTTTAAATTATCTTGTAGTGAACATTTTATGATATAAACTAATAAAAGCCTTATCTCAATCACAGAACTACTGAGATTGTATTTCATCGGTTATTTTATGAAACTTGTTAATCAGACGAAAATTTTATCTCTGTCCACCGTTTATTTTTTCTACAGTGAACTTTAAAAAAATTTACCATATTTAACATCAACTAATTGTTGTAAAGTTGAAAATCTGATTTATTGTGGACTTTCATTTATAAGTAACTAGAATTTGAGACTAGTAATCAGATATCCAGTTTTCTTTATAGGATTATAAATTTGTTTATTCCGGTTAGCGCTTTTTTGATAAGGTGGAGATGCTGAACCCATACTCAAGCCTCCTCTTTTACCCGGGCTTGTGACTGATAGTAACCCTAGAAGAGCTACAGGCGGGGTTAGGATTATAAATGGTTTCAATATATTTTCATATTTATTGAAACATCTATTTGGATAACGCCAGCAACTTTTTATATTCTTAATATTATAGCTATTAAATGATACATTCATTTTATATGCTAATTATGAAGATGTAACTGTTTTAAATGAAAGTATTCGACTTCTTTATACGTTTTGATTTTATATTACTGAATAGAATAAATAATTATTTAGTCCTTAATTGTGGTCAGTCATACTATGTTTTGATTTACAATACGGTGGTTTCATCATTATAGTTTTTATTTAGTTAAATACTGTAAGAATCATACTTCAATTTCAATTTAGCTTAATATTTATAACTGGGATTTTTTTCTAAATAAAATAGTTAACAACCAGAAAACATGTCCATATATAGTTTCTAAATTAAATCAAACTTTTTTTCTGTATACTCGATTAGATCATTGTGCATTAGTTTGAATATAAACACATTTATAGATAAAATATTAGACTACTGTCTATTGTTGACGGCATGGGTCTGGATAATAATAATAATAATAATAATAATATTATTATTATTATTATTATTATTATTATTCTTTAAAGGATAAATTATAGATCAACTTCATATATCAACATTTGAAATGATAAAATAAACAGATTAACATTCATTCAATGAAGTGAATTATAAACATTCTGTGATAATTAAAACAGATCAAACTATAAAATGTTAAAGTATCATAATCACTACATATTTGTTCACTGTCGATTTACGATTTTTTTCTTCTAAAAAAGTAATATAATTACTGATGTCATCATATAAAAATATGTTTTACTAACCATGATAGAGAAAACTGTTTAAAATGAGCTGTAGTGTTTGTTATTATTTTAAGCCCATAAACCTTATTCTGGCTTTCGGACAGCCCAATTCATTCATTCTACTTGAGTCACATTCTGACCTTGTTAATTATTCGCTTATCAATCTTGACTGTTTTTATATGAGCGCATCTATGTGTGTACATTTCTTATCCTATTCATCATGTCTGTAACTTATGTTTGTGTGGCTATAAATATTGATTAACGCTTGACTAAATGGAGTTGACTTACCCACCATCTCCACTACGCGTCCTTTCGCTTCTCCCTATTCCATTCGCTTCATATACAAAATATATGTATTCAAAAGTCCATTCTCATTATTTGACTTATTTAATTCCGTTATTGACTAACGCAATTTAAGTCAATGATTATATACGAGGATAGGTGACATACATATTTCAACAACAATCATTCACACGATCAAATTGGAGTCAGCTTCCGGGTCACTAAAGAGTATTTAATTATCAAAAAAAGTAATAATAATGTCAAATAAATAAAATCTGATTAAAGTTTTAGAATTGATTTACTTTTACAATTAAAATTGTTCGTTATATAATTCGAACTGGATCAACTTTGAAGTTTGCTTTAGTAAATTTAAAATTATAGTTTTAGTATATTCACATGTATCTAGTGTTGATTTACTCAAGCTACATTAATATCATTTTCAAATCTTATAGTTTATTAACTTTTCAACACTCATTTCTATGTATCCAATCGAAGGAAGTTGTTTATTTTTAATTATCAAGCTTTCTAAGTTAATTAATACAAATTAAAATTGTATAAATACTCATTGTAATGAAGAAGAAAACTTCTCTGTTTATAATAATTGTTATAGATTAGGACTAATTATAAATGATGAATGAGTTTTGAATTATTAAAGTGAAATGAATAGAATCCTGATTGATAGACAAACATAATGATACAATATATGTATAAGACCAAATTGTTAACTAAAATAATTGAATAAATAAACACTAGATATAAGACTATTAGCCATAAGAATGCGTTCTTTTTTACTGAAAAAAGTAACATGATTATATGCAAATTATCAACGGATGAATAATGAGTGGTAAATGCCATACATGGTTGGAAGAAATCACCTTTCTAGGTCACTCGCTTCCCAATAAATTATAACCCGCTTGTTATGCTGAATTCTTTGTTCATGTCAACAATAAGTTTTTGATCAAATCTTCAAATACTTAACTTGCAATTATTAGGTTGCAAATTTAAATTTCGCCCCACTTCTTTGTTTAAGTAATCGGGTACACACTATACATTTATAAACTAGTAAGTTATAATTGGTCTAGTTCCAAGGTCCACCACTTTCAATAAATTAGATTTTATTAATAAGTGTAATTTTCTGAAATCCTAGTGGAATAAAACATGTTTTTGATTGAGATCATGAACCGATTGATGTTAGAACACCATTGGAAACGGCCGTTCAGTGCTTCCAGATTTCCAACGGTGGTCTAACATCAATCGGTTCATGATCTCAATCAAAAACTTAATAATCTCCACAACCCCTATACTAAGACATGTTTGTTCAGTTATTTTTACTTAACATCATCTCTTTTATTTTAAACAGAAAATGTGTGAAGATTTATGGAATTGGCAGGTGAAAAATCCACAAGGTTATCTCACTTCAGCACATTCTAATAATTGATTTATTTTCTCAGGTTTTACTTAATTTGTGCCTTTTTCTTCATTTTCTATTTTATGTAATATCTTTGATTGCGAAATTGTGTTTCGTATGGGCTTTCTCTCAAATTAATTTGTTTTTATCAGGTTTTTTGTATGATGATTTCGCTTAATTTAATATGTGAATAAAGTTTTTCTAATAATACAATTGATAGTTTTTACAGAAATTCATAATAAAAGTAGATATATTATTTGTCACGCATCGCAGTAAGTTGAAAAATCTCTAGTAACTAGTAATTATTGAACTATTTAATTTTTATAGACCTGTTATGTTTGGTCGTAGCTGATTGTTGTGCCAGAAAAATGCTGATCACTTATACTCGGGACGAGGGATCTCTGCAATTCTCACGACGCGAAAGTAAAAACACAAACACTGGTATAAGTGAAGATTTATTAGCCCCAAAACACTATGACGATGATGATGATAATGGTAGAAAATAAACTCATTTATATATTGATAGTACACCCATTTTAATTAATAATTAGGACGAAATCACATAAATGAAAAATACTCAGAGTTATAACAAATCACATACTGAGTATAGTTCAAGTAAATGGAATACAAGAATATCGTATATTATACAGGATAAAATATCATACGAGAAAAGAAAACAAATACTACATTGATTATTCATTACATTGAATCAAAATGGGAGTAATCTTGTACAAAACTCATATTGAGCAAATCAATCGGAAATTGACTTTTCTTTCCATCATATCAAGACCCCTTAGTGACTTCTGCTATCCACCGTCTATTGAATTAAAGCTAAATTATTTTAATCTTATCGAAAATAGGTATCATTACCAAGGTTTGATTTGATAATTTCGAATAAATTGAGCATTGGGTTGATTGTTATAAATAAATAATATATTTGTAATATCCCAATGAGTAAAAAATTAGATTTTCTGACGTTTCGTGGCTCAGAAAATCTAATTTTCTACTCATTGGGATATTACAAATATATTATTTATTTATCGAAAATACCTCATGTTATTGGAATTTAATGCCGCTATCGAAATGTATTCACTTCAGGTTTTTTATAGTAATAAATATCCATACTTCAACATATTGTGCATTGTAATACTATTTGAAATCGAAATTGAATCCAATGATGTATTCCGTCTCAACTATTCTCCACAGAATATTTTTTAAAGGGTAGATTCAGCAGTTCACACGAGTTTTTATACAAAATTACCTTTTTCAACTTTCCATATAGGATTAAGCGTTTTACTTCGGGGTCTTAAGTGCAGCTACACAAGTTTCAAGAGATAACATATGATTCATGGATGCGTATATTTTGGCTAACATATGTCAATTTGAATAAACTATTGATCTACTTCTTTGTTTAGTGGCTGATAGTAATTCGTCTTAATTTATGTTTGTTTGGAACAGTTACTTTTAAGATGTTAATGTCATTATCATGATTTAATACTGTTCATTTGGAAACTAAAGTTGTGCTGCTGCATCAAACCAGAATTACACCTATAGTTCTTTTATTATGTTTTCTCATTCAAATATTTTTGGTTTTTTGCAAGTTTATACTCGATTTGGCGTTGTCTATTTTTGTCAGATCAATACCTGAACATAATTTTTAATTCTGGAAGAATTGATGACTTCAGACATCTACTAGTAATAAAAGTAGTATACGTAAAAAGGTTACTGTCGCTAGCCCACTTGACCATCAGAAACTGCTATAAAGTCACAATTGATTGATCACTGGGTGGTGACCAATGTCATGCGTGTCTAGTCCTTATTATTAATGCAGATCGAATGCTACTGACCATGTTGCAGTGTCGAGTCACCTAGACTCATGGCCACATTGCAACATGGTCGATAACATTCGATCTGCTCTAATAATAAGGACTAGACACGCATGACATTGGTCACCACCCAGTGATCAATCAATTGTGATTACATCTCAGTTCTATAGGATAGCTCAGTGATAACGTCTCTGCCTGTGAAGCTGGGTGACACGAGATCGAATCCGCCAGGGAGCATCAGTTCCCTCAAAGATTACAGGTACACCTTGCTGACTAGTTCCAAGTAGCACGAAACCCGGGTCCAGGGTTTCCTGTCGACTATCTCCAACCACCATCTAACTGCTATAAAGGAAAGCCAAACATAGTTTTATTAAGAATTTCAATATTTTCAAATTTATATTGAATCTCAACACCAATAAATCAATCAATAGAGTAATGTATGGTGGATAAAAAATAACTGAGTGTGTTACAATATGGTTACTTGGGGTTTCAGTATATAGTCCTCAAAACAACGAAAAAGGAACAAGAAGTGGTATATTTGCAAAACTGATGGAAATCACGAGTTTACAGTCGTTGTTTCGTCCTTATATGCTGCTCAGAACAAAACTGTTGCTGGGAAAATGACTTGTTGTTCCAAACCACTGAATATGTGTGGAAATGTTAGCACCAAACTTGTGAGACTGTATTAATTCCTCAAAATATAATCAAGATTTAGCCCTCTGATAATGGGACATCTTTGAGTCAATATAAAACAAACTTGGAAACCGGTCATTGTATACCAAATGTTACGGACTTTGACATCTTAGTACTCACACTGACTGCCTCTTATACACTATTTGTCATCGCACTTTAGAGCAGTTAATCCTCAAAGAATACCTCTACGGTCAAAAGTTGACATAAACTAGACAACTGTTGAAAACCAAGAAGCATTTTATAGTTGTTTTGACGTAATATGTTTCTCTAGTAGAGTGTGTCTATATGATAATTAGAAGAATTTGAATTATAGTATGAACTAAGAATCCCAGAGATAACGCAATTGAATCAAGAAGTACTACACAAGTACTAACGAATGTACTGTATTTAGAATTCGAAATCAAACATTCAACAAGTACAAAGGAGTCATTAGTTCATTCAAACACCACAGTCTATCGCTTAGTCGGGGTGGATGCCGACTCAATTATTTGATTGATAAATGCTCGATCATCAATAGGATCAAAGATGCCCACTACTAGTCAGTTTCATACGAGGAGGAAGCAGTTATCCAAGTTTCGATGAATGTCTAACTGTGGTTTCTGGTCTCAGTAATATCTAACACTCTTTCTAAAAGAATAGTCGATTCGAGTGATCTCAGTGCTTTAATGAAGCTTATCAAAAACATTTTGTAATGATTATTACATATCAGTTAGCTTAGGCGTTTTGAAAGAGGTCTTTATTTCTGTCGTATGAGTTACGTTTCAAGTTTGCTGGTTTAATGGTTCGAATGTTGTAGTCATTTGAATTCGAATTGAAACTTTCTAAATCAAATTAAAATTTCTGCTGGTTTACTGCTCTCGTATGAACTGGTTGTTGAGCATATGTATTTCGAATATTGGATACAAAGTACATGCTCCTTTGCACAAAATATTTGGATATTTTCGCCAAAAGTTTTGACCTTGGGCGAGTATTCTTCACTCGGCACATCACGAAGGATCCTATGATCTATCCAGATAAAAATCTTTGGGTATTAAGGCTAGTCTAATCAAATCTCTCGTTTTAGATTGTTAATGTTGCAGTTAAGCTTTCATAACTTTCAGAGACTTTCAACAAAAAGTTCGAAGATACTCTTGTTTTGGTAAAGCTACTCCGAACATTTTGTAACTAGGAGACATAAATATATATTCTTATGGCTATAGTGGCTTAGCTTTGCTAATCGATCACTTTGATAATTGTTATTATATAAATCTCAATGGTGTTTGAAATCAGAAGGCAATAAGAAGCGGCGACTACAACTTATTAGCGGATAGCACAGATAAGAAAGCTACAAGCACATCGAGCGAATCTGAAGTAGAGAGGTAAATGTGTGTATTTGAGCGAATACAGAGGTAAATTCATAGTCAGATCGAATAAGGCTCAGTTATGCGAGGCAAAGGCTATTGATAGGACTCAAGTACATGTATACATGGAGTGAGATGTGTGTAGGCTGTCATTTGATCAAGCTTACACGTTTATACAGACAAGATATTGATCATAATATTGCAAAGAAATATGCGAATTGTTGTCGTACGAATGAGATTGTCTGTTAATTTAATAAAAATGCATTAACAAAAATTAACCATGATCAAAGTTGATTGCGGGAGAGTTGCTATACGATATTAAGAATTATCCATGTGTATATAACTTATATGTCAACACTATGAGGATTTCGTGAGGAAGCACTACTGAAGCACCGAAAGTATCTCATCTTTATGTCAGGTTACAGTATACGTAATAAACCTTACCAGATTAATATTATTAGCTGATTATTTCAAAACTGGATTGTTGTTATTCTGTGATTATTATTATTTAAAATATAGTGTCGGTAATGCCAAAAACAACTTCAAAATTCTGTGAGAATTAGTCAACTTCCGTTTATCGTTTTATGAAATCTGAACCATTGCTACTCATTAGAAGAGTTTGTCTGGCAGTCAGATATGACAAACTGAAGCCTCACACAAAGCCTCACTGGAGTGAAAAAGTTGGATAATTTCAAAGCATATAATACAACAATCTCAAAGTCACTCAAGCTCGCGTTTGTTCAATAATGATAATAAGAGTACAACAGTTCATCCCGCTGAAAATGATGTTGAAATTCGTAATTGCAATCCTATTAAGTTGAGTGTTTCTAACGATCATTTATCTTTATCCACGACTTTGAAAAGCGGTATAGATTCACACAGCAGTTCAGAGTTAAATGAAACTCAGAATCATTGTGGGACAAACGTTCCTAATCAATCAACTTCTTATCAGAATTCCCATGTTATTTTACTGGATATGGTTTTCCCTAATGATTCACATATGTCTGATGAAATTTCTAAGAAATCTGAGGAAAATATGTTAAATGAATCGAATCATGATCGAAAACCTGATGCAGTTTTGATAGATGCTGATTTTTCTAATGATCCATCACTCTCCAATGACATTGTTAATAAATTTGGGGGAAAAGTTCCAGAAGAATCAAATCCTGATATCATATAATATATTACTTATACTCATGATGCATTCGCTTTTTGTGGGAAACTTGGTCAATGCAAGGCTCGAGTACTAAATATACTCGATCTTGATTACAATTCTGATGAGTTCATATCAACTGTTGTTACTTCTTACCATGAAATCACTTCTGATGAATACTCCAATCAGTGTGAGAAATATGTTTTAAATGAAGTCATATCATTCATAACTTAGGGATATGAAGATCCAACATTCTTTCTTGAGAAAGGATAGTTTTGGAATATTTATGATTCAAATTCTAGATATCAGTGATTTCAGTACAAAACCGACATGGTGATTGTATACAGTTCTAGGACCCAGATGAGTCTGTTCCGATTTCAATTATTAATTTTATTACTGACAAGCATATTCTAGATCATATAGAGTGTTTATTTAATACACTATCAGACAAACACGACGAACGTAATGAGATGAGACACAAATGATTTCAGAAATTTATATTTGCATTTAAGCTGTGGCGGATGTAGTGTCTGTATAAACTAATGATTTCTTTATACTTACTGACTGATTGATTTCGCATTCCAAATACAATATGTTAGTTCGTGCTCATCTAATACTTCTTAGATGGATTGCGTTATTTCTGAGATTCCCAGTTTGTACTATAATCTAAATACTCATAATTATCACAGATAAACCTTCACTTATAAATTTCGAATTTTTCATCACTGAGTGTGAACTATCTACACTACTTACTTACTTACGCTGTTACTCCTAGTGGAGCATAGGCCGCCGACCAGCATTCTCCAACCCACTCTGTCCTGGGCATTCTTTTCTAGTTCCATCCAATTCTTGTTCATTTTCCTCATGTCTTTCTCCATTTCCCGGCGTAATGTGTTCTACACTAGATCTAGAACTTTTAAGAATGCTTCAGAGACAGCTTTTCACTCCAAATGGTCCCAATGAAATGCTTGATAACTTGCTATTGACGGAATTGAGGCGCAGAAAAGTAGGAACGACACCAAAGTCCCTTCTTCTTTATGTGAAAGTATGAAACTTCAAAACTTTGAAAACAAATGCCAATTATACTACTTCTGCAAAGTTAAAAGACCCAAAAAGGAGAGCAAAGAAAGTTACACAGTATTAAAATTTCTTAAACAAAAATGTCTTTGTAAAACGTTTCGAACCTTTCCAAAGAATCCTCAAAAGCATCAAAGTCTGAACGTATGTCCAGCTTCCCATCACAGGCTCAATCGCGACGTCAGTGTGGTGATTTTGTATGATAATTAGAAGTATTTGAATTCCAGTGCAAACTAAGAATCTCAAAAATAACGCATTTGGATCAAGAAGTACTAGATAAGCACGAACGAATATACTGTACTTAGAATTCGAAATTAAGCATTCAACAAGTACAAAGGATTCGTTGGGTCATACAAAAACCCTACATTATGACCTTTTTTTTTACAACATTCCGTTTGTATAACAGCTGTCATTACATGACGAGGGCTAAACAGAGTAGCTTTTCTTTTATATTGAGTGAACTTATGAACTTTTATGTGTTCAACATTTAGAACGCCGTGATTATTAACCTACTATCATACACAGGATGGCTTGAGAAACCAGACCTCATCACTATACTACTGCCGATTGTGAGGTGATCAGATCTTGATGTATGAAATACTAAGAAATAATTTTCAACCGGACATATCCTCCCTATTTCTTTTTCGCAGACCAGGATAACTCATAGGACATAGAAGGCGCGCACAAAAACCACGAAGGAATAAATTAACTATGACCTACAGGTTTTCACACCAACTCATCAATTCTTGGGATCTTTTGCACAAAAATGTAGTATCTTTCTCTTCAATTGACTCATTGAAGAGAAAGAAAAACACTCGCAGAAGCTTACTGAAAGAGGACTAACATAGGCCGTCTGTCCATTATGCTCAATACACAAATCCGAATATGTTTGGAAAATCCGCAGCGCGTTATATAAACTTTTTGCTACGTGGTCGGGGACCGGTGACGTATTGTTTATGTCATGGTTGACGAAGCTACAAAGAAAACTCTTGCTGCGATACCACTTCTCAAAACAAGAGCAGGTCCTCTAGATGGAGACATGTGGATACAAAGGCTGAAGGAAGAGTACCAAGCCCTAATAAAATACGTGGAAAATAATAAGGCTGCAGACAACGATTGGTTTCGCATTGAATCAAACCAACTTGGCACTCGTTGGTATGGAAAATGTTGGTAAGCCCATTAGTTTGTGAGTCTTTTTGCAGGTATATACAAGATATGAAGAAGTATGAGTTCGATTTGAATTTCGATATACCTGTTTCATATCCCAGTACTAACCCAGAACTTGCCTTACCTGAGCTTGATGGAAAAACAGCGAAAATGTATAGGGGCGGTAAAATATGCCTAACGGATCATTTCAAACCACTATGGAGTAGGAACGTCCCTAGATTCGGGATCGCACATGCAATAGCACTTGGTTTGGGTCCTTGGTTGGCCGTAGAAGTACCTGATTTGATATCGAAAGGAATTGTTAAACACAGAGATGATCAGTAATATATGTATTTCCATACTTAATTTAATATAATGATATTGTTTTTTTAATTACGGTACAAATTAGCTTTTGTAATAATTTATATGAACTCAGTTTTAGGGGTTGATAGCTCGTAATTCAGTACCAACTGTCAAAAGATTGCCATCATCAACAAAATGGTTTTTTTTATTTGCAAAAAACCAACGATATTTCTTTGGTCTCCTTGCATATGTTTAGCACTACATTTTAATCTTGTTCAATGTATGGAGAAGCCTATTAATTTCTAATTGCCCTTTTTCATGTGTCTAGTTAGACGTGTTTTAGTCTGAATGCGTCGTAAGTTAAACTAGGGTTGGGTTTCTACATCCTCAAAGGTATTATTGATGTTTTAACTAGATAAAGTTATTTATCACATTAGTCATAAGCTTCTGACCAACAAAAGTCGTGTTTTCGTCAGTGGTAATAGAATATAGATAGTTACTGTGCTTTTTGTTATTGAGATTTCTGGTTAGTCTAATCCAGCGTGAATCATCTAATTACTTTATTATTTAATCGATTATTATCTATTATATCTGACTGTACACTAATAAGTACATACTTCCATTGGCATTTTGACCACACACTACAATCTGTTTAGATGGGTGCCCAGATACTTGATTGTTAACTGGTGTTACTGCTCGGACTCGCTTTTCATGTAATTTATGAGGAGTCAATTCAATCCACAGAAACGCTTGTCTGAGTTCAATGAAACATATTCGAGGCGATTTGTATACTATGTATATCACTCCTTTTAATAACCGTTATTAAATAAATCCTCATCGGTGTATAGATTTCAGAAAACTACGAAGTAACACATCAAAATGTCAATAACACGAAGCGAAGACGAATAAATGAATATGATTTAAAAAGTAAATTTGTATATAAGCAAGCAAACGAGTCGTTGAACGATTTCAGCAAATAAAATTTAAGCTAGTATAAGGAATTTGTGTGTGAACTATAACACATGAATACTCATTCAAACACGATAATAATGATAATAACATAAAGTTATACACAGATTGTTAACGACAAAATGGTACTCTCCATTAAATTAACTAATTAAACTCAAATGTAGGTCAGGGGACTATGATATTTTAAGGCATAAATAGTTACAAAACATTGTTCAGGGCATATTTTGGTCTTTACAATAATCACAAAATAATTATCGGGGTCGAACTCCAGCAGTGACTATATGCGCATAGTGTGAGGAAAAATTAATATTAGAAGTTTTATTCAGCCTAATAATCCACGCGAACAGGCAGTCAAACAGCCATGTAGATAAATTATATATACAGAACATATGATTTACCTCAATTTCATGAGTTGGTCTCTTCGTGGATAATAATCCGGTCTTAGTAACACTTCCGAGAACTAGAACATATTCAGTGAAGTAGGAGTATTTTCAAGGAGTTTAAAATACTGCAAAATCCTAAACCGCATAAATTACTCAGTTGCTCTTTGATATTACTAATATTTCAGCTAAAAGGAATCAAAACACAACTTATTAGTCAGCGAAATAAGGGGAAATCATTATCCGAAGAAGAAAGTCGATGTAGTGAAAGGTATGCGCATTAGCTTAAGTTCTACTTATTTCTTCCCACCGCTAGTGAAAAAACGGATTTTCACAAAATTACATGTGTCTGAATATAACATCCTAAAATGTGTGGTGTTGCAAAATTCTATTAGATGACACAGCATATAACCAGTGAACTATTTTTAAACCTCTCAAGACGAATAATAAGCAGTATAACGAAACGGTGCTGCGTCATACAGATGAAGAACTTGGTACTTGAAAATATGAAAGGTTCATTCGGTTGCACTTGTGTTGTATACTATTGTGCCTATGTGCAAACTTTCGTACAAGAAGACGAACTAATTTTAAGTTCCCATCTACTCAATCGACTGTAGCGCGTCACGCATTCGTAATGTTTATCCTGGCAGACTATTATTGTAAGTATACGCCATCGATGGAGTCATTCACGTTCAAAAACTAAATTCAGCGTATTAAACATCTGATAATAGAAATCCGTAATGGGGAGACCCCAGGTGGCTTTGTAAGAAACTGACCACAATATTTAATGCTTCATGTGATATATTGCACTAAATTTATTCGTTTTCTCCTAAGTGTGAGTACTTAAACTAATGCAATTTTGTTTGGTTTCTCGGTTGGTATTTCTTTAACAACTAAATGTTTTGTCTTCACTTTCCTCAAACGACGATGTATTTTTGAGGAAACGAGTAAAGAAACCAAGAAATACTTTAGTGACGTTTATACCGATATTATTTTCACAGAAATAATGATGCTTTGTCGGACTGTCTGCACAAACGAATTTATTTATTATTATTTATTTTAACACATAGGTATTGGTACAAAGAGGCACCAAATACATATGCGCCACACAAATCTCAATTGATTTGTGTGAGGACTGTGATACTGCCCGGGTGCCCAAACCGAAGCACAAACGAAGGACTAAAACAAATATAGTCAGACATTAAACATTCTGCGTTTTACAAAACAACGCTATGTACAACTATTGCTGACGGTAACCAGACGCAACCCATCGTAAACTCAATACCGCATAGCTGCAGACACATGACCACGCCATGAACCTGTATTAAGCTCTAATACGACATAAGTAACCCGCCTACATAATCATTGGACATATGAATGACTGTAAGACTGGTTGACCCACAATTTTGACCGTCTTTCATCACTGTGTTTTGATATTATTCTTGTAAGTGGCTTACATTCAGTCCTTTATCATTTTCCCTAAAACCCTTTTTAGCTAGCTCTCTGTTGTAATAGGTAGTTGACAGTTTCCTAGTATTAGTTTAATGCTAATCATTGTTTAAAGTCTTTACTATTCTGGTCCAAGCAAATCGCTTCATTGAACTAATAAATACATCTCCACACACACTATCGAAGTAGTTAGAGTGATATCCAATCTATCATTGACTTTAAGTATGAGTTATTAGCAGATGAATAATTGACATGTTAACACACTGAACATACTACTTAATTAATTCAGGACGATTATTGGTGTTATATATTGTATTTTTACTAGTTGTTCACCAAAATTATATTCAGTATTGGTAATAATATGAGGTTACAGTCACTTCAGTGTTGTTTTTGTGCGCTTGTTAAAGTTCATCTATATCCATTACCAGATTAATAATAAGTACTCAGTCGATAGGCACCTATTTGTATTAATCTATAGCAATACGATCAATCTCCATCTACTGCCCACACGATGGATCCTTAGTTCGAGTGATGCCCTAAACTTCGCTTTAACTTACCTTGATGTAGTGATCGAGGTTGCATACCGAAATGACCCGACCGAGCTACATTGGCTGGGACACGCTCCTTTATATCCTTCCATGTTGGGGAACGGTAAGACTAGAAGGAGCAAATCGAAGTCGTACTGTTGATTTTATAGAAGTGTGACAGCAGTAATTGTTTTCTCCGAGCAACCAGATTCTACAGCCATGCTGCCTTCTCATAACAGAAGTGGCTAAAGACAGTCGACCACAAACTTGTCACACTTCACCTTACTCCATGGTTTCCGGTGGTTAGGCCCCTTTGAAAATGGAGCCAACACATTGGAAGGTTGTGTGTGACCGACCTCAGACGGTTGTTCCTTGGGCTGTGTGGTCACCTTCCCAGATCGCTTCGACGATTAATCCGGTTCTCCTCTCATGTATCCTTCTATGGTGTGGAGCTCCAGAAAGTGACAACCATCCATATACCTCTAACAGCGCGCGGGATCACTTCATTCATAGGCAAACCACATCACCATCTGTCTCCATAACCTCAATTGTCGGGAACCTGACTTAATCAGTGACTATTTAATAGAAACTACAGGTTGACAGCTGTAAAGACTTATATTGATGACTTATACAATACGAAATTTTTTGGGATTGATAAACAACCTACTGGACTTGTATTTGGAAATCACTTCCACACTGGCTAAATAAATACATCTGACACCTGTTTCCTACGAAAATATCCTGTCGCTTTCTATTATGATCTACGTTGAACTCAAAATATTGTAGAAATATATATGCATATTAGCAGTATTTGCTTTAGTTATTTTTAACTCATGAGTTAATAACCTTCAACATAATTTTGGAGATTTGGTTAATACAGTAGTAGCGTACACCCTTTTCTAGGGAAGGCAGCTGTAGTGAATTAGAACACAAAATTATAGAACATCTCACTAAAATCTGAGAACCATACAGTAAATACTTAATGTACAAAAGACCAATCAATTGTCTCAAACTTGACTGGTCCTTTCACAAATATCAGTCAATCTTCTCAGATTTCATTATTCGTACATTTTCATAACGATTGCTTTCCGTTTCCGTTCTTTCCTTCTCGATCTTCTACTGAAGTACATTCTATTTCTATCGTTATATACTACTTATGCGTACATAAGTAGCACATAACGTAAGGATAAAGTTATCTGTGCTTCACGTATAATTATATGGTTTGGAATTAAGGGACTTTTATCAATATTTTACCAGTCAGATTATCGACTTCAAATGTATATGTTCATTATTAAAATAAATGTTAACATTAATTAGTGAAGAATTTTAGTTTACTTACGTCTATGTTATGTAAAGCCCATCCATCAACCACAGAACCCTACAACCCAAAGCTTAATGTGGTTTAGTAGGTTAGTCGGAATTACAACAGCCAAATTGATTTAATTGAATGGTCAGTCTCTTTAGTTTGGTTGTCAACCAACATATTAAGTAACAATCGGCTATATCAGTCAGTCAGTAACAACGTAGAACTTCGTACGTACCTACATCAGTTCGAGTTGCCATACCACATTAGCACACAGATACAACTCTCAATTTAAATCCCTTAGTTCTAGAGGTAGTAAGAATATAAGCAGTGACCGGAAAGACTTTTAGTATTTATTTTTTATTTGAACACATAAATATTGGTGCAGGGGGGCACCAAATATATATGCGCCACACAAAACAATGAGAATTTAAGAAGGGAGAAAAAGGTAAGGAACTTAGAGAGTTATAAAAAAAAGAGAACAATAATGGGGCAGACGAAAAAGTACACTCAGAAGAAATCTTTCAGTTAAGGAAGATACAACCACTTTTTATGAAGAAAGTAAAAGAAGGTTACAGCAGGATCGCCACTGACTTCTATTCTGAGCCATATCTGATAACGTCTCCAGCCACTGTGTTACACCATCTCTCGGACCCCAGCCAGGGAGTCGTGAAGGATCAACACAAGCCAACCCTTCGCAGCTTTCTTTCATACCACGACACCAAATCATATACTGACCACCTCTCCGCTTTTTCCAACCAGTCCCAGAGTCGGCAAATAATGCACGACGTATAATTCTCTGGGACGACATTCGTAGAACATGTCCAAGCCACCAAAGTCGGTGTTCCAAGATGGTGACACCAATTTGACGGAGAGTGAAGATATGACCAATACATCCTCGACCAGATCGAAACCCAGCCTGCTCCTTGCGAGTCAATCCTTCTCGGGTTCTGAACAACCTACGAAGTATAACGGAAGTAGACTTATCCCCCGATAGTTGTTACAGGAACGACGTGAACCCTTTTTAAAGATAGGGACAACTATCGACTCATTCTATGACGTTGGTACACTCTCTAGTTCCCAGATCTTTGTAAACAACGTCGTCAGTCCCTTAATCAGAAAGTCATCACCATCTTTAAAAAGAGCCGGGGGTAAGTCGTCTGGGCCCGGTGATTTGTAACGTTTCAAGAGTTGGAGTTCCTTGCGGACTTCCGCCTCATTTGGTGGATCAGTCGTCACCGGCCATGGAGGGCAGGACAGTCTGACCGATGTTGCCGGAGCAGCAGGCCAGTTGAACTGCCCTTCGAAAATTCTGCCCATCGTCCAAGACGTCGATGGATGTTAGTGATTGGCGTTCCGTCATCCTCGCAGATTGTTTCGCTCACACCAGACTTCTTGCTGCCAGTGGCTCGGATGAGTTGGAAGAGCTTCCGGTTATTACCAGATGCAGCTGCTGCTTCCAACTCACTGGCACGCTCCGACCACCAGGCTTCACGGTCCTTACGCAAGCTTTGCCCGATTTCATTACGTAACATCCTTCGTCTGTGGTCAAACTCACGGTCACCGGGAGTAGACCGACGGGCTTCAATCAGTTGTAAAGAACTAGAAGAAACCCAGTGCTTGTAAGCGGGACGTTTCGCAAACCCACAACAGACTGTACCCGCCATTTTCATGGCGTCATGCAATTGCAACCAATGCTCATCTACACTTTTCGGTGGAATGGTAGCTAGCCTAGAAGCTAGCTCGGTTCGGTACTTACTAGCAACAGAAGTTGCAGCCAGCTTGCTAACATCAATCCTTTGGTGGCGGTCACTTCGTTGTCCACTGAAAAGTAAGGTAAGATTGGCGCAGACCAGAGCATGATCAGATTCCAGATAGGTACTCCAAAAGGAGCGGCAGTCTTGTACACAACCACGCCAGCGGTAGCTGATCGCGATGTGATCAATCTGAGTCCGACCGAAAAGACTAGGGTTTGAAGATGTTATTCAAGGAGTATAATTCAGTGAAATGAATTCGGAAAGAGAAAAAAGAAAGGGATATGTACAATTCAGATTAGAATTTGGGAGAACACAAAGAGTGAATGCACCTAAACCATTGCAAACGATTTTGAGCCATGTCATCCAACCGTCAGTTGTTATCGTCTCGTGGATCCCAACCAGGTAGTCGACACCTACCAACATGGCTCAGTCCACTTGTCTGACCGCCCCTAGCTTTCTCCCAACCTACTCCTTTACCAAAAAACTTCGCACGTCGGGGCAGTCGGTGGTTGGGCATACGTAACACGTGTCCCAGCTATCTCAACTGACGAAGTTTCACTACTTCATCAATTGATTTGCCATCCTTACCTAGCACCCGTTTCCTAATAACTGCATTACTTACTCGATGGTCCCAGGATATACGAGCAATGCTTCGAAGACACCTAAGATTAAATACTAGTAACCTGCGAATACCCTCTACTCTTACCGGCCATGTTTCACTGCCATAAAGTAGGATGGAACAAACTGCTCTGCAGTAAACCCCTCCTTTGGTTGGTAGATGGATATCTCGCCTACGCCATAAATGACACAAATTGGCACAAGCTAGTCGAGCCTTCTGTATCCGTGCTGAGATTTCGTCACACACTAGACCACGAGGGCTGATGAGACTCCCAAGATAAGTGAATCGGTCGACACGCTCAACTACTTCACTCCCTATCACTAGTTCGAGTGTTGACGCCACTCTATTCTGAAGTAACATTTTGCACCTCGAGGGGGAGAACCGCATCCCGAACATGCTTGCATTGTTACTTCTAGTGGTCAGATGACTCCGCATTTTGTCAGCATCTTCACTAAATAGAACTGTCATCGGCATATTCTAAGTCAATAAGTGAATCTCCCGGTAGAAGTTCAACCCCTGAAAATTTAGATGTGGGAAGTGTCATCTCCAAAAGCGCATCAACAACAAAGTTAAACAAGAATAGAGAGAGTGGATAGCCCTGACGAATACAACTTGAGGTAATCAATTCTGATGAAAGTTCGTCATAAGCTCTCACTCGACCAGTTGTTTTCGAATAGAAAGCCTGTACGAGGTTAATGTACTTATTTGGTACTCCTTTCAGTGACAAACACTTTCATGGAACCTCATAATCAACCGTCAAACGCCGCCTTAAGGTTGAGAAATACTAAAATTGTGGGACGTTTGAGTGTGTGTCTATGTTCTAGGACCTGACGTAGTGTGAATATCTGGTTTATACAACCACGTCCAGGTCGAAAACCAGCCTGGTTTTCTCTAGTCTGCTCTTCACGATCTTTGGTTAGGCGTCGAAGTATTATTGAAGCTAACATTTTAGACACTATATTAGTCAAACTGATTTTCCTGTGATTGTCACAAGAGGACATTTGTCCTTTCTTATAGACCGGTACGATCAGTGATTGAGACCAGCCAGATGGGATTACGTTCAGTTTCCAGATTTTATCTAAAACATCAGTCAATCTCGCTGCTAATACTGGACCACCATACTTAAAAATCTCAGGGGCAAACCTTTCAGGGTCTGCTGCTCTCACACTTCAGATTTCCTATAGCTTTTTCAACTTCGTAAAGAGTTGGAGTACTTATATTAACTTGTTATTCAGGTCGACTGGAGATCGTGGGAAACCGAAGTGTGGCTGAAGGCCAGTTAAACTGATCTCTAAAGTGTTCTGACCATCGATCCAATCTCCTGGATTAAGAATGAATAATATGTCTATCTTTTTCTGAGATAGTTAATTGGCTACATAAAAACCGTTGTCTAAGTTTTTTATAAAATTGATACTTCAACAGTCACTTTCCCGATTCAATTACATAATGAGTTTATTCGTCACTTCGTAAATGTCTTAAAGTTGGTGCGTAATCAAAAAGCTACTGTATACATTCGCTAAACATCACTGCATTTCTGAATGTCCTTAGGATGAAGCCAGGGCAATAAACAAACAAGCTAGTAAATAGGCTCAAAAATTTTCCTCAGATCAACAATGTTCTGCTGAGTTTCTTATGAATCCCTGAAATACATAGAAGTTACCTTGACATTAGTTTACAATCTGGAAATTATTTGAAATGAAGCTTTCAAATGTAAAACATGTACTTTGCATCTTGAGATGATACTAATTAGTTGTCGATAAAAAAATAATATACACATATTTACATATACATAGTTACTGCAATATGGTTCCAACAGTTGCAGAATCTACTTCATTTACGATCGACTTCACTTCTTCAATAATTCCTTTCCTCGAGATTAGCTGCCTTTTATAAACTTCAATTGCCTCAGTAACTTTTCTGTTTAGTTCTTGTATAGAACACAATGCTTGGCGCTTTGTTTCTTTAAAATCAGTTTCGTGTGCAATTGTTGGTACGCTTGGAGGAATTTGAGATCTGCTCATCAACGCCCGATAAAAGGATGGAGAAGGATCAACGAAAACCATTTCGTCGTAGATCTCTCGGACTAAGCTTTTATGACCCATCATTATTTCATGGTCACAATGAAACAACTTAATGAGATGAGTTATTATCAGGGGCTTTTCATTAGGATCAGTGAATATGACTTTCATTGTAATGTCAAACTCTCCCCAACCAGTTTCCGTCAATTCAAACGGTGGTTTGTTAACAATTCGTATGGGATTTGAATAACTTTCATGTAATTTAAACTGGACTTTTCTTATAAATGTCGACAGGTCTTCGCTAGTATTATACGGTCGCAAAAACGCAGTCCATTGATGAGTTCGTCCATCTTCCTCACGCTTTTTGCCCAGATAACGTGAAACATTTCCATAGACTATAGGTTTTACAACTGTTGTCTTTAAATTTTCAACAACATCTTCAGACATCTGCAATAATTAGAAAATCAGAATGAATAACAGTTTAGATTAGAAGAAAAATGGATAACTGATCCTATTTAATTCAGACTGTAAAAGTTATCACATACTTAAAAGTAAAAACAAAAGTTGGGTGAACTTATTGTACACCTAGTGATAGATGCCTCCATGAAACTTCCCCAGCGATGTAAGATGCTTATCTAGGTCAAATAGTACGACAAGAAGTAGTTATATGTTCTGAAACCTGACAGGTTTGTCGTTACGCATTCTAGTTAAAGAAAAAGTGATTATGGGAGCTAAGGTATTAAGCACTGAGACAAGCTGCTTCATTTGTGATTATCACAAAAAGAAATTCAGAAGAGTGGAGTCTGCCCAGATGAACTGACATCTAATTCTTAAGCTCTGGTGCCTCAGTCACCATTTTAACCAGTTGTGTTACCATCATTAAGGACCTGTAAAGCTAACTTACTAAGACCGATAGTTTTGACATTGTGTTACTAATGCTATATACATTATGCCAAACCTTTCGTACCTTATTTATATTTCATGTTTTCTTAAGGTTGTTGTTGTATATTTCGTCAACAAAGTGTAATACCCTGATTTTATGAATGTCATTTCACTTTTTCTGGCGCACTATTGTGAATTCGTATTATAGAAGTAGTATTTATATTCATTTTATATTAACTACATCATGGACTGTTGAAAAAAACCCAGAAAATCATCAAACATTTATTTCTAAATCGGTAAACATATTCCTGAAGAATGCACATATCTTCATTTTCCTTTAGTAGACCACAATATTTGTCTTACGTCAGTTTCTTAACTGTAGAGATGCGTAAATATAGGTATTGCAAGTGTGTAAAAGGTAGAGCTACCTTGATAACGTAAATAAACTGTAGTTGAGGGTTCACATATTATTTTAAGAATCTTCTGATGAAATATTTGTCGCTGAACGGTTTTTCAAGTTACGTACGTTAGTGGTTTACGCATAAAATTTTGCGGCATCCAACACCTTTAAATGGCAAATACTAGGCAACTAGTCTTCTAATGGCATGAAGCTTGCGGAAAAATGCACTATTAGTTGCAAAAAGTGGGAAAATATCTTATACAGAGGAAATTTGGAAAAGTTATAATTTATGGATGACCTTTTAGCGACGCTAAAAATACTTAGAGAATGTCTACCTACATACTACGGTTAAATGAGGGTTATAAACCAGTGTGAGGAATTATGGTTAATATCTACAGTTGAAAGTGAGGGTTAGGAATTGGATATAGTGTTTTCATCACGAACTGACATCAGTCATAATGCCAAAAATATATTTAGCCTAATGAATGCATAAATTTCGCGCCAGAATCCAAGATCTGTTATCGTAAACATGACCAGTTCGTCTACAAATTATAGCCTCACCGATATTTGTAAATAATTCTCAATGAAAATGTGACTTAATAGGACAGGCAGTATACAAAGTGTTATTACAAACCGTATCATTTTCCATAACCCGAACCATTTAGTCAAGAAAGTATAATATTGACCTCAAGACACTTTAAGGTCCGTAGCCGCATTTTCCTGAAAATTCTTAAGGAGCTTCTCCGAAATTAACTAAAATTCCCCTAAAGTGGGAGCATTGGGAATACTTATTAGAATTTCTCACATATATACTAAAAACACAGCGCAACATACGATCGGTCAAAAAAATCACATAAGCACTGATGTTTTGAATCGTAAATAGTCCTTATCATATATCATGGATTTCTATAGGAATCCATAAGGTTTTCAAAATTATCCAATCTCCCTATTTTGGGTAAATTCTAGGCAGGGCTCAAAAACCCAAAAATTTCCCGAGTCATGGGAAAACCCCAGGACTTTGAGGGAAAATCCAAAGAATAGAGGTCATTTATCTACTTATTTGAACACATAAATATTGGTACAAAAAGGCAAATAATATAACACATATTTATCACTGTAAAACCAAATAGTAGCGTACCTGTAGAAAAGTACTCCAAAGACCGATTTCGGGTTTCAATGGTTGCGGTTGGGATACAAGAGGCTCTCGCTTTTTGAGCTTCCAAATCACGCTGCAGTGGATTACTGGTGCTTGGAATGAGGAAAATGAAACAGATAGAATGTGATTTCAGACAACAGGAAGCTTAGACATCTTAAGATAAACCCCTAATGTGACCTTGAGCTTGGAATAATTTATGTTGTAGTTTTTGCTGCCAACTTGTCGTAGGTATAATAAATTACTCTTAGTAGAGTTAAAAGCTAGTGCGGTTTATTCAGTGGTTATCGAATTCATGCTCTTGCAACAAAGGTGACTCTACGAGGAGTTTCACAGGTGAAAGTTGATATAACTGATTCTCGGTTGTTTCTTACCAAGATCTTAGTTGCTTTCTTTATTACCAATCAACTCCCACACAAAAACGTGAACCGTTGATAAAGTAAGAAAACTAAGGACATGAGCATAATCACAGAGTTCATTAACAAGTCAAACTTCATTGCAAAGATGCCACAACTATTTGGAGTTTGACAACACTTTTATTAGTAACACATTCTGTAATCTAAACGTGTCAACCCAGATAAATTACAAGTCAGGAGCAAATAGGTTCGAAGATATGTTTGACAGGCTAAATATTTATAGAGAATCGACTGATCTAAGCTGGCTATCAGTCGTAGGAGAAGTTGAGCACGGCGTTCCTACTCGTGATCTGGTGCAAGTGCGTGACCGAGCGCCTTCGACTAGGTGAGTCCATTAAAGTTGATGCGTTCAGCACCAACTGTTGACGACCGTTACATATCACTCCCATCTCTAGTGGTGTAGGGATGACCATAAAGTGTAGTCAACCAGAAGTTTAGAGCCAACGACTTTGTCGTTAATAAACACTTTTCTGATAGCTTGCTATGTTCAGCAGTGCCTGGTCTTCTTTCTTTATCATAAGGCGCCATGTGGTACAATATGGTAATGAAAAACTGGTACAATGTAAATTTCGATTCATTGTAAGCTTTGTCGGCTTGTTCATTTTCTCTAGCCGTCCTGGAAAAGAGAAAAAGGATATGTGAGCGCATGTCGACTCGCACTCACAAGTGCGTAGACATAAAAAGGGTATAAAACCTTATATACATACAACTTGTAAACATACAATAGAGTGGAGACGTTTTTCGCATGATGATTTTTTGTGAAAAAAGTATTAGCAACAAAATATTTTGTTTTTTGGAATAAAAATATGTGTATATGATCACATTAAAAATGGTTCGTTTTTTTTAGCATAGTAATACAAATGACCGGGATGAAACAAAGCCTTATGTAGTGTCTTACGTGTAGTAATCGTTCGGGTGTTTTGAAAACTTTACTCTTCATCCAGAGAGCGTTGTTTTTTAGTCGGTTATCCGATACCATCATGATCGTTGATTACCGGGTGAGGTGCTGCAGTTGTAACACCCGTGTCTTCTAATTGTACGGAAGGAAAAACGACATGAATATGGTTTCCTTCTAAATACTCGTCTTGGAAGTAATCTATGCTGACGCTATCGTTAGTTCCGTTCTTATCGATTATATAGTACTTCGGTTTATGGTGAAGAACCCTGAAGGGTCCTTCGTGTGTTATTTCAAGTGTTCATCGAAGTGAGTCGCGTCACACAAAACCACACGTACTAAATCGTAGGGCAGGTTAAAAAGAGCATCAGTTGACTGCGGTCAAGTGGAAACAGATTTAACTGAACTTATCGCGTTTGTAAGCCTGCTCGTGTAACAGTTTAAGTTCATATTTCTTGAAGAATGTGAAGGATCCACGACTTTTTTCGAAGTTGCAGTGTCGTTTGCAGCTGATAGGGAAGCGTCTAGCTCTTGGAGTAGGCGTTCTACCAGCTCGTTTGCTTTTGGGTAGTAGGTCGTCGTTATGAATCGTGTGATTCTTAATAGTGTAGATAGACTACGGATAAGTCCAGATTCGAACCAGCGTCCACCGTCTGTGGGGATAGTTGAAGGGCAGCTGAAGTTTGGTACTCACCGTATGGCGAAGGTGCGAGTCATTTTTGCAGCATTAATGTCCTTGATGGGTACTGCTTCTGGCCATCGGGTGGAACGGTTTACAAAAATCAACGGATAAGAGTATCCATTCGAATCTGTTAAGAGTCCTATCAAACTCAGACGGATATATTCGAAACGAACATCGGGAATTGTGAAAAAACCTATGAAACATTCGTTGTGTCCAGTCACCTCAGATTTCTGGCAGCTTCCATACATCTTTATTCATGGTCGGTTAAAGGTCTCATAAGGTACGCGTGATTCAGTATGAACCGTCTATAGAGACTCACTAAACCGTCAAACGTGCACAGTTGCTACCTATTTGACGCTTCCAAATGTTATACCGTCTTTTTGGAGTCGTTCGAAGACAAAGTCCAGATGCCGGATATGTGATCCCCTGTCCGAACTTGTAACCCAACAGTCATTAACATACGGATGTACGAAGCTGAGACGTCGAAAAATGTTGTCGATGAATCTTCGAAAGTTTTTACAGCATTGCTCAAGCCGAAAGGCGTGAGCGAAAATTCATAGTGTCCGAAAAGTATAATAATAGCGGTTTTGGGAATGTCTTCAGCAGCCATGGGAACTCGATTGTATGTTTTAACCAAGTCGATCTTCAGAAAAACGGCTGTAACTTTCAAGGTAGCTGTCAAATCGTGAATGTAAGGTAACGGGTAATGATCACGAATGGTTTTTGCATTCGGTCACTGATAGTCTATAAATGGACGTCAATCGTTGCTGTCCTTTTCGAGCATGTGCAAGGGAGATGCTAATGGGCTGTTTGATGGCCGAGTGATTTTAAAGTCTTTCACATGTTTGAGTTCATTTTTGTCTAACCTCAGCTTTTCAAGTGTTAGTTGGTGCGCTTTCAAGAATACGGGTGGTCCTGTATTCCTGACGTGATGTGTAACATTCCTGGTCACACATGGTAATTTCAGTCGCGTTTGGTATATCTAAGGGTGCTTATTTGTTGGTAGGATGGATCAATCGTGTATTTTACTGTGACCGAGGTTAATCCACAACCGAAAAAGGACGTTACACAAACAGATAAATTAGCATTTCCGTCTACTAAGCTCCGCTTGTGCGTATCCATAAGTAGATTATGATGTTGCAGCAGGTCTAAACCAATGATTGACATAGAAACACCTTTAAAAACAAAAATCAAGTGAATGGGTTTTCGCAGACCCACGTTAAGATAAACAAATAGCCTACCATATTTGGCAATCGGTTTCCTACTTGCCATCTGTAAGTTGGAGACTCGTAAGAATTTGCCGGAAGAACGCTAACTTCTGTGTCAGTATCGACGACTTAGTGAACTTTCGTAATCACACCAGTGACGCATAGCTGAAGGTCATGTTTGCCGCCGTTAACGCGTGCAGACTGGGACGTCTCCTGAACATTTTCGTGTCCGTCGGCTTAGAGCTAGGAAAATTGAAGGGTTTTCTGCTATTTCGGGAAGATTTTCTGTACTGATTATGACATCAGCACCAAACAGGATTATCTCTCTCTCGTGATCTGGAGACAGACCGTTTTTGTGAAGTATTACTTCGAAGAGTTTGAGATTGTTTACGGTCATGACGAAAGTTAAGGTAACGTGTCAGACTTTGACAGAGTTCCATAACGTCGTTTCGTGTCATTTGAGGTTTCTCGTTGACTAAATAGACCTCGGTTCTAGACGTTTTGGTGATTTCTAGTATACGATCGGCAGCTGCAGCCAGCTCGTCTGTAGAGAGACAGGCACTGCCTGCACCTGAGGAGGAAGCTTAGATA